GGGGGGGGGGTGGATGGGCGGGGAGGAAGGGGGTTGACGAACGCGAAAAGGCCGCGACCGGACGGTTCCGAAACGGAAGCCGTCGGTTTCCCGCGATTGCGGCCGAGGGCGCACGTGAGAAAAATCCGATCGGCCACCGCCGTACCGCCCCTGCTTTTTCCCCGCGTCTCTCTATTTATATAAATATATTATTTCCCTTTTCTTTTTTAATAAAAACCGTTATTGTTGCCGGCGGCGGTCTTTCGCTCTCGCCGCCGCGACCGTCACGATCTTTTATTGTTTTTTTTTTTTTTTTTTTTTTTTTTTTTTTTTTTTTATTTTTTTATTTTTTTTTTTTTCGAATCCCCGGTCTTTAAAAACGACTTCCGGTGTAACTTTGTACGGTCTGCACCGGCGCTCGGCTGTTTGCTCGATCGCAGACGCCGGTACCTGTACGACACGCCCGGAAACGGAACTGTCCGGCTTTTAAGAGAAAAAAAGGCCTAACGTCAAACACGGCTAATTTACGGCGGAGAGAGACGAAAACTTTCCTTTTCTTCTTTTTCTCGTTTCTTTTTATTTTCATTTTAGAATTGATTTTTACTCTTGAGTCGTTTAACGTTGCGTATACCTTCGTACATTTAACAGAAACATACGACCAAGAGCCTTTATAACCGACATAAATGTTGATTCGTAAATGGAGTTGATAAGTGACGACACGAGTCGACTTTTCAAAATATTTTTCAAACCCTAGATATCGAATGAACTAATGAAGCCGTGATTTTGAAATACGCGGAGTTCATTTTTACAACAGAATATTCGAATGCCAACTTGATTAAAACGAAAAAAAAAAATTGAAAATCAAACTTTTTACCAAGATAACAATTCTAGTTAGTTTTAGATTCCGAGTGGAGCTTATGGTTTTACGAAGACGTATATTTTTTTTATTTTTTTCCGTTGAAAACTTTCCTACCAGAGGACTTGCTCCGGCGTAGCACATTTTCTCAAAGGAAATCGGCGTGTGGAGGTATCTTAGAGAAGTCGTTTTTCGATTTTCTCCGGAGTTTATTCGTCAAGTGCGAAAAACCGAAAAGAAAAAGAAAAAAAAAAAACGGGAAAACGTACGAAACATATTTATATAATATTAAGGGAGAGACGGGCAAAGCTGTGCGGAACAGCTATTCGCGGGCAATGAAATGCATTTCAAAAAACGTTCTCGGGCAACAACGAATATCCGCAGTGATGTCAGGGACGTGTACGGAAACGGGAAATCGCGGAGAAACATATTTATATATTTTTAAATGTTTTTGTTTTTGTTTTTTTTCCCGGTGAATACTGACACGGGCCAAGCCGTACGGGACAGATAGTACTCTGTCGTGCCAGTACTATTATTGTATTCCATTACAGTTATTCCTGTGTTTTAACGAGTTACGAAATAAAAATAAATAAATAATAATCAAATCACCATTGACCGTATATTCTCGACTTTTTCTCCGGATAGAAAAAAATATTCCTCGGAAATTTACGATACAAACGACCAAGGTCACGCCGAATGCGCACCGTTTACACGTACTGAATTACTTACCGCCGTACGGGTACGTCGTCCGTTTTTTCGGAAGTAACGCGCCGTGTAACAAACACAATTCGTGTGCATGCAGTTTTGTACCACTTACGGATTCGAAATATTATTGAATGTCGGACTTTCATTATTAAGGATGATGGCTTTTCCCCTATCCGTTCGCGCGGCTTTGTTTTCTTTTTTTTTCTTTCGGGGTTTGTCGAATAAATTTACGACGGGACCGCACCACGCGCTCTAGAATAATATACATTTTAAACTATATATAGGTATCGTCTTATCGTCGATGACGTCCGTAATATTATAATCTCTAGAAAATCTCGTGTTTTACGCCGTTGTTGTGTTTTTTCGTTCGCGACAAATCGATTTTGCCGAAAAGTTTTCACACCGAAATCCGCCGGAATGGATAACTTATACGCACGCGGAATCCCGTAAAACTTTCTGCGTGATAACTAAAAAAAAAAAACATAATACACGATCCCCGTCGCCATTACTTAATTTAACGTACGTACACGCTGTTTCTGAACAGTGTATTTGGGAGTTTTTTTTTTTATTTTTGTTTTTTTCTCTCCCTATTCTCCGGACTATAAATTATATAGAAAATATCGAAACTATAAACTCATTTAAAATCAAAACGTCCGGGACGTGGCAGTATATTATATAGACCGCCGTTTTATCTACGGTCCTAACGACATGGTTTTTCTCGTATATTGACAAAAAATGGAAAACCGGACATACTTCACGCCGTCGTCAATAACTAATTGGGTAGGTCACTGGCTGAAGGTGGGAAATCGGGAAGAATAGGGTAGGTCATTTAGTTTTTATACGGAAAGCGACGAAACAAATCACCGTAGTATAAAAATAAATAAATAGACAGTCCGAGCGGAGCTGGTAACGTTACTGTATTAGTCCAATTTTTATTTTCCTTTGCGGCGAATGGGTAACTCATAAATTGACAAAAATAAAACCCGTGGTGTCTTCGTTCGTTAGGTTATTGGAAGTTTTTTTTTCGAGAAAATAAAATGAACATCGAAAAACGTTTCGAATAAAATATGGGTACCGCCCGATGAATAATCTGCATCTTTTTCGAAACTGTATGAATTGAATCCAAACATTTTCACGTTTTCACTAAACGAAAATAAATTGTTTTCTGAGACGAAAAAAATCGCACGTACCGTAAGTAACAAGTCGTCTAGAACGAAAAATGTATGCGTTACGATTTCAGAAATAAATGAAAAATTATTCATAATAATCGTTTGCTCTCCGTAATGTGAATTTAAATATTTTAAATTCCGATCGATTAATCGGAGGTTTCACTATAAAAATAACGAATTTCCCGTTGTAATCTATAATAATATTATTTTCGTACGTAAACCGATTCAATAAGATTCAGATAAATTACATCGAGGAAGTACTTTTTAAATTTAATAAAATGGCGGTTTTTTTTTTTTTTTTTTTTAATAACATGCGATTATTTTGCGCGTATATAATGTTTTCGGTTTTGTTTTTTTCTCACGTCCGGTTGCTACGGAGTTGTATGTTATTATTGCTAGTTACGAATACTTGTTATGAAACACAGACTGTACATTAAGACAGTCATTGCGTTTCGATTTTATCGCTGAAACCAGTCCGAACCGACGTTGTTTTTAAAATGAATTCCGTGAGTATAATATCATTGCAATAAAATTATAATAACCGATTAAAATGACGAAACACCCGAACCGTGTTCGCACGTTGTACGCGAACGTGCGTTTAGGACAAGAAAACGGACGACTGCAAGTGCTACGGCACCGACAAATGCGACGCCAAGGCGGGAGAGCCGAAAACGCCGCCGAAAAAACAGTGTTGCCCTTGTCCGTGTCCCGTTGAAAAATGCAGCGTCACCTTACGGGCGGTAGAGCAACTGGTCGAGGCCGAAAACAAAGACATCGAACTGGCCGAGCTCTTGAACGGCATCACGGTGCTGGACGAGCACCGGCCGAAATCGAACATAGTCAACCATTACGACGCCACGTCCAAGAGTACCAGGGTGGATCCCGTAAGCCGTTTACCGATAACGATAACCACGCGAATATAAAACACCGTACGGGGCGGGGCGGGTTCCGGTTCTCCGGTCGTTTAAGAACCGAGCATATGGGAACCGATCATTCAACCGTGCGAATTGTCGGTTCCGTCGATTCGCGCCCAACCCGTTTAGTTATTTTAATCGCGTCCTCGAGGGTCGAAAAAAAAAAAAAAATTATACGATTTTCGAAAACGTATCTGTAACCACGGGTCGTATCGATTCTTCACTGTAAGCCAATAAAGGTCATTTAATTTCGTTCGCGCGCTGAAAATAAGACGAACCGGTACCGCGTGAGAACCGGCAGCGATAATGGAATTTCGCAGGAACCGGGACCCCCCACCCGCCTTACACGTCCGTCGTGGTCTCCGATAAAAAAATTGTCGGTAAAACGCGCGTTGTTGTCATCCAGGAAAAATCCGTGGACCCGGAATACCTGGCGTTCATGATGAAATCGATACAGAACGGCCTGAGCATGAAGAGCGATCCGATCGAAATGTACGAACATCTGTTTTCCAGGGGTAATATGGACGCTCCGCTCGTGTCGCTCGGCCCCGCCGCGGCAATGTCCAACGAAGTGAGTGCAACGCAGTAAAGTAAAGGTCTTGTAAAGTGTTCGAATAAATGTATTTCGCAATGTTCCGATACGTTAGAAAAAAAAAAGGGAAATATTCGAATACGCAATAGTACGAACACGTTTCGTTTGTATATAATTGTATAATTCGGCGAGAAAAAACGCCCGAAACCCTAAATGTCTGGTATATTTCGAACGTTAACAAAAAGCGAAGTGAAATAGACGACCCCGTCAACAGTCTCGCGGCTCGCGGGTCGCGGAACACTGTCGGGAAATAGGTCTTTTGTTGCCCTTCATATAATCCCAGACAATTGGAAAATTTGCACTATCGTTTATTGTTTATTTGGAAAAAAATTTTTTTTTTTTTTGTATAACGTACGCGTAAAAAACATTTCTGTTATCGTCGTGCAAAAAATCACATTTGTTTTTATCGAGAAAAAATAAAAAGCGTCTGTGACGAGAAACCGATTAAAATATAGTATGCGAAAATTATTCAAATATATTATGAAATACTCGAACACGTATTACGCGTATAATTTTTAAAACTTACTTTTACACGTATTCCAAATATTAATACGAAATGAATGTGTTCTTTACAAGACCTGACTTATCCTGTTATTATAATTAGGACGGCGTATATTTATACGCTTTCGATTGATTTTATCGCTCGATCAAATATACATCGCGTGTATACAGCGCGTTAACATTGCGCTCATTACTCTGTTAGCGTTTTCATTTTCGTTTTTCAATCGGGTTTCGCGCGATGGGAATGTGTGTACGTGGAAAAAATTAAATTTTGATTTTCATCCCTCGATCATCGAAATAAAAAAAAAATAAATAACTTTGTAATTTTCCCGTTTTCTATCATTTATGCTTCCGCCGTGATCGCGAAACGTTTGATCGGACACGAACGCATGTTACGTTAACATTTTCGGAACAATATAATTTACAAAAATTTTGATACGCGATAAAACATAACACTTTACAGATGTGTGTGTGTGTGTGTGTCCCTGACCGAAAGAAAAACGAAAAAGAAAAAAAAAAAAAAATAAATAATATTGACAGAATTCTTAGCATATATGGACAATACCGTAGGACACCGTGCCCGTGCGTTACACCGAAACGCGTTTCGTAATATTTTGCATATTTCGCCGTTCGGGATTTTCGAGAATATTTTTTTTTAAGAATTCCGTATGTTATTAACACGGTTTCCCCGGAGTGTATTTCAAAAATTTCAGCGAAAACCTGCAGCGCGCAGTATCGAATTGTAGTTGAACGCCTTCAGGGCGTATCGGCCGTGAGATCGGCCGTGACAACCCGTCGGGTTCGACAGTACGGTTGTTATGCGAGGGGGAAAAAAAAAAAAAAAAAAACGAAAATCACGCGTGTTCTTTTGTCGGTTTTCGCGCAGAACTTGATCGTTCCGTTGTCGTCGCCGACCGTCGTGNTACGCGATAAAACATAACACTTTACAGATGTGTGTGTGTGTGTGTGTCCCTGACCGAAAGAAAAACGAAAAAAAAAAAAAAAAAACGAAAATCACGCGTGTTCTTTTGTCGGTTTTCGCGCAGAACTTGATCGTTCCGTTGTCGTCGCCGACCGTCGTGAACGTCTTGGACCCGGAACTGGAAAAAGGCGCCCGCCTGGACACCATTATGCCCAGGATCAACGTGGCCGTGGGCGAAGCGCCGAAGATCGACGCCGCGGACGATCTGCGCGTGCTGCTGGGCGGCAGTCCGGCGGACGGACAACCGTTCTCCGTGGCCGGCGACAATGTCCCCGAATCCAGAGAAATGGCGCTGGAGACGCGGGAACCGCTGCAGTCGACCGCCGTGCTCAGGGGTTCGACGCCTCCCGAATGGTTCCCGGGATACAACGTGGCGCTGCCGAACACCGGGCACCCGGCCAAGCAGACCGATCCGGAGACCGTTCTGGAACAGGCGTGGGTCCACAGCCAGCCGCTGTCGTTGAATTTGGAAAGCAAGAGCGCCAAACTCATCGGGTCGTAACGGTCACTTCCGCGTGTGTTTTAAACCCGGTCGCGGTACGATTATAACGGTTAAGACCGCAATAAACGCACTAACAGTGCCACAACGTTACCGCGTGTTGTTCATCGCCGACGCGGTACGCAATTGACGTGTACGCCGTTCGGTCTCGGGGGACGCGTAGGGTTCGAGCGAACTCCGTACGGTTTTCGACGCGGTTCCAATATTATTGGAACGTTGAAAACGCCGTATTGGAACTGGCGCGATTAGGACGCGCGAATTACGGGAAACAAATATCGCCGCTGCCGGACCGTCTCGAAAATCTCCTCCGCCGGACCGACGGTCCGACCGACGGGAAACGATAGCGTAAATAATTATTTTTGTTCTGTTGTTCCGACGGCGATTCGTTTGAGTTTATAGTCGCCGTTAATTACGCTCGCGGGAAGAGATTGTTCAAAGTCCCGGAAGGTAAAAATGTATAACAAATGATTGATTATCTAATTGTCAACGTACATTTAAAGGTTTACGATGATAACTCGAATTCGAAATCGTATTCATCTCGTGACTACGGAATAAACTACATAATTGTCCGGCGTTTTTCCGTGCGGAATGTTCGTGTATTTTTTTTTTTTTTTTTCCGTCACGTTCTCTCGGAACGAAAAACCAAACGAATCTAGACAATTTCAGATTGCTACTAATTACTGAAAATAAAACCAGACGAACGGTTTTTGAATATTATATAACGACTTGGAAGTGATAATATCCGGTAAACATTTCAGGTATTTTAGTTTGTACAACGAAAAAAAACAATTAAAAAAAAGAACATTTTCTTGCGAACACATTCCTCCATTCGAAGTGTTTTCTCGGTGTTTCTTAATAAATTATTTAGAAAACAACGAGGAAAATCGAAAAAGATCTCCTCCCCCTTAACTCTTTAAAATCCACTCTCGACTACTGTCCCGAACTGAAGCCGATGAACGGGGTAAAATTTCTGTTGGTAAAATAACCGTGCACATCAAACGCAAAGAAAAAAAAGCACACGCCATTGAGTAAAACCGATATAATATTATTTGCAATATGCTCTCTCCCCAAAAAAAAGTCTTTCAACACGATTATTATTAGGTATTATTGTTATTATTATTATAGTTGCGGGATTATTTTTTTTTTTTTTTTAACGATTCGAATTTATTGTATACATTTTTTAATATCAATTCGAAATAAACCATTTAAAGGGGAAAATAAAGGAGAAATAATGTTTTTCGATTCGGGAACGGAATATTTTTAATATTGCGGTCCGATACGTCCATTATTATTTTGGTAACTATATACACAAACTAAAGGAAAAAAATATTAATAATACGAAAAATAACGTTTACTCTCTTTACTGTAAACTGTATGTGTATACCCCTCCCGTGAAATTTGATTGAGAGGTAAAATAACAGTAGGGTCAATCATCCCTAGTGAAGGGTTTAAACCCTTCCCACTTTTTTTCTGACGTCCTGGTTAAATTTCCGGGTCTTATTTCATGCAAATCAATATGCATGGTTAATTTTTAAAGGGGGAGGGGGGGCGGGTTAATATTATTTGCCCAAGTGACGGTTTTACAGTACCGGAATTGTGTCCCTGTGAGTCGAATTTTATAGTGCATAGGACATCACAGTCAAACAAGGATTAAAGGGTCGTGGAAGCCCCGGGAGCTCCAAAATGAAACGAATAATAATTAAAAAAAAAAATGTTATCAAATATTTGTTTCAACTCATATGATATTATGGTCTTTGTGGTCTCTTATTTCTCGTATGCCCCGAGGTCGTGGCCTCTCTACTCTATTTCCCTTAATTTGGGACCGAGTGCTGCGCGCATACAAATATTTAGTCGGTCGGCGGTAAAGGGTTTGTGGAATACGTTCGCAAACAGTATTCAACAATCGAATGTTTATGAAACAACACAATAATAATACGTTAACGGGCCAACGACGACCCCCTACGGATATTTTACCGTGTTGGCCTTTGTTGTTTTAGATTCCGAGTGGAGCGAGGAATGTATTGGTTTTACAATGATTATCATTATTATTATTATTATTATTATTATTCCTACTGCGAACATCTTTTTACCAGCAGAAATTTCGCTCGGATTTTCAAGCGTAGCACCGTTTCCGAAAGAAAATTTTTGCGCGGTGATACCTTGAGGAGGTAATTTTTTTCCCAGAAGTTTTCCCGATAAACGGGAAAATTTTGCGAAACGTGTTATATTAAAATCGTAAATATCCCGGCCTTTCGGAACGCGTATTACCGAATTCCGCTCGGAATCGTTTTTCGTTGGCGACGATCGATCGTTGCGTACGGATACAGATTAAATTAAAGTCGGGAAGGTTGAGAGACCTTCCCAACTTCTGGGCCGCAACAGCGGCTCGGTGCGGAGTGCGTCCGTTTTGTTTTTTTTTTTTTTTTAACGGTACCGACAAAAACGTCGCCTAGCACGCGACCGCGGCATGACCGCGAGCGAATCGCGTACATCGTACCCCCCATCGGTACAACACCGCCACAACTCGAGAAATAGAGTTTTGAGAGAATTCGATATTAAAATATTACCCGCCACCGAACGGTCACGTTTAAAGCACCGTAGTGATGACACTTTGTTTTATTGTCCGTGTTACCGGAGGCTTATTGTTTGCGCGGCCGCCGAGACGGGACGTATCGGACGACAATTTTCGGGGATACATGAAAAATTACCGCCCCGCACGCGTTACAATGCAGTAGAGAAACCCGCAATGTTACACGCCAGCGGCGGCGCCGGACGCCGACTTTACATTATTATAAATCCCGATCGCGGGAAAATCCGGCGTACGCGTTGGAAAAGCGTTAAGGCCCGGCGTGGACAGTGCGAAATTAATAGTCGTCTTGGTCGTCTCGGGCCGCCTCGGAATCCGATATTAATCATACTTATATCGGTACAGCGGGCGAAACGTAATTTTCTTCGGTCGGACCGAGGGAACGGCGGTATCGGTCGCTATCGTGTAAACGCTCGCGCGCGTTCGGTTATCGACCGAAAAACAAAGGAAACGAAGAAAAAAAAAAAAAACGTAATAAACACGAGAGCGTCTGGACGACAGTGTCGCGCGGGCATAACACAGCGTATGCGCCCGGACGCACTGGCGCGACCGGGGTTTGTTTTCGGGGAGGTGGAGGATTATGAATTCGAAAAAATTCAATTCCGAATGGCGTTTGGCGGGTGTGCGGAGGGGATAGGGTCGGGTCGGGTTTACGAGTAAAATCTTTTTGTGGCTATTGCAGCGACCACCTGACTTGTAGTTATGACCGAAACCACGCCGTAGCGCCTGTAATCATTTATTCATACACGACTACGTACTACGTATTATTCGTAAAAAACTAGAACGCGTTTCCGGGGGACGGCGTCACAACGGCCGCGGATTCGCCCGGGTTGGACGTGAAAACATATCGTTTTGCCGGCCGATCGAGTAATGGTCGCGAACGCATAAATGGAAATAATAAAAATTCGCTGCTGCGGTAGATGCGGACTTCGCGTGACGGATATTCGACCGACAACGCGTATTGTAAACTGCCGTTTAGTCGACGGACGACGACGTTATTGTCAAGGCGGCTTTTTTTTTGTTTTCGTTTTTTTTGGTTTACGACCGTCCCTTTGTTCGGCTGACGAGTCGGGGAGGTCGGACGGAGGCGATGTCTGGCCGACGATTTCGCATGGTGCCAAATCGACTTTCGGACTCTCCGGCCAACTCCGAACCGTTATGCACCCCGCCGGGTAAAACAATTGTTATTTTTCTAACGGTCTTCGGGCCGGTTCGGAACAGAGGACGTCCTACACGGCCGACGGCGACCGGAGACAGATCTAACGATCCGGAGATAACCTCAAAAGATCGTCATTATAGAAGACTGCTTCAACGGTCTGGATACGTGCGAGCAGACGTAAAACAACGCCGCTAAACCAAAAGCCGCTTATCCGTTTGCACAAGAAAACAAAACGATTCCTTTCGGGACGATTTCGAGACGCGACATTCCGATGTAACCGCGGTACGGAAAACTGTTAGCCGCGCCCGTAGAAAATTCGCATTTTTCAGATCCTAAAACTGTAATAAATATTTGACTATTTATTTATTAAACAAATAAGTACAAAAAGAAAAGTACGTTTGATTATTGTTTGGAACACAATGTGTTTCTAAAAAAATCTATGAATTTATTATAATTTTTTTAAAAAAAAATGTGTTGTGTTATTAATTGTAATATTAAATTTTGTATGATAATTATTACAATTATTAAAATGTTACTAAAAAATCAAAATTGTGCGGGGGTTTCATATAATAGGAGATGGAGCAAATCGAAAGATTTTAGTCTTGAATGGTTAGAGGATCGATAGTGAGATGGAATCGGGCAAATATTTGAGGGAGGAACAATCGTCTCCTAATCCAAAAACCCGTAATAGTTAAAATTTCAAACCTTGACGTAAAAATAACGCTGCATTTGGTTATTAAATTTTACCATTTGCGTGAATGTTTTTTTCGGCCAAGAAAAAGCGAAAATTCATCACGGAGTTTATCCTAAATTTTATCTGATGGTTAAAAAAATTAAGCGGAGCGTGATAATGGCATTTTTTCTTCGTAAGTATTTAAAGTTCATCCGAGCTTCGCTCAGAATCATGTTTCGTCATCGATGATTTATCGTTGCGCGCGGATATAAATTATTAAATAACTTTATATGTTCTATACCTTCCCACCTCCAGCCCGTAACAGTGGCCCGACCGTCGGCGGTATCAGCTCTGTTTTATGTTTTATTGCGGTACGCGTTAACGAGGCGCGTTTGTTTTTTAAGGCGTTCGCCGCTTTTACAATTACACTTGTTACGAGTTTATCGTTTAGTTTGGACCCACACACCTCACCGCGTCGCGTCGTCGTCGCCGTCCCCCGTGCCAAAGTTTCACGGCGACGACGGCCAGTAAATTACTTAATCCATTATGAACGGCTAAAAATTAATGTCAAATCAATATAAAACGATAGCGTTAAAAAAAAAAAACGGTTCCTACGATTCGACACGCGATTACGCCGCGGCGTTTGTTTTCGAATAGAATTTTCTCCGAAAACAGAAACTTTCGCACCGCACTGTGTACGTATATTTATAATGACGTTTCACACATTTATGCCGCTACTTCCGGGCACTTTGAGCGGTTCTCTACGGACCGAAAGTACTCAAACCCAAAAACTGAAAATCAGAGTCGTCTCGTGGGCGGATCGAAGTGTTAAAATACACACACAAATCAGATACACCGATAGTACTACACAGTACTATGTTATAATCGAATAACTACTAATCTACTATAAAATAATATCGTTGTATATTAGTGTTTAATGTAATTCTTTTTTTCTGTTTACAGGTAAGTTCGTTTACCATGCAAGTAGACAAGTCGGAAATTTGATCGGAAAAAACGATATCCGGCCGTCATAACCACCGTAACGGTAAATATTATCATACGGAAAAATCAACTAGTGTGTTTGCGTGTGTACGTGTGTGTGCGCGCGTTTGTGTTTACCTGGTGGTTTATCAACGGAGTCAACATGATATTATTGTGTGTACCGTCGCGTGTTGTCGATGATCTGTTAACACTCGTTCTCCCCCGTTCCTCTCCACGTGATAAAAATGATAAAATAATAGTTCCGCGATTCGGTTAGTTTTGGTGACACGTCGGAAATGTCTCAATGTATTGCACGGGGCTTTAGTGGAATAACAAAACGAAACGTGCGCGAGCTCGTGCGATGCGACCCACAGCCGAAATATCGCAAGTCAATTAACGGGTCCGCGATTTGTATCGCTCCGAAGTCAGGTTTCAAAAATACGACTACTAAAGGGTGGATCACATCAGGATTTTTATCGGAATCATCCGGATACGAAAATTAAATTTGTTTTAGATTCTGAGTGGAGCAAAAAAGCTGGTGGATTTACAAAGATGTTTATTATTATTATTATTATTATTATTTTTTTTTTTTACAACTTTTTTTAACAAAAGGACTTGTTCCGAATTTTAAAGATAGTAAAGTTTCTAAAAGGATATTTCTCTAGGAAGGTACTTTAAACAGGTCGTTTTTCGATTTTCTCAAAAGTTTTCTCATCAAATGAGAAAATCCGAATAAATACGGGAAAATGTATGAAATATATTTGTATAATATGACGATTTTTTTTTTTCTGCGGACAATTTTTCTTACGGCAATTTTACTCCAACTTGTATTGATAGCAATTTTTCCGAAAGGAAATTTCACTACAGAAGTACTTTAGGCAGGTCGATTTTCGATTTTCTCCGGAGTTTCATCAACAAATGTGAAAAACTGGGAAAAACGTGGGAAAACCAGGCAAAACGTAGGAGAACAGGGGAAATCGGTACAACAAATATTATTAAAGACAACTTATAGAATCTATTTAATTCGTTTACTATAATATGGCATGCGTATTGTTGACAAAGCATCGCTATCTACCGAACTCCGCTCAGACTCGTGGTTTACCGTTGCTTACAGATAGACATTAAATTACAGTCGGATAATAACAGTCGTTCCATATCTTAGATCGTCTTATTTCTATAATTTTTAATATTTCTGGTTACGATTGAATGTTCCGAAACGTCTGTTTTATAATTGCAGATTAAAAATAGAACTAATAGGCAAAGAGGATGTTAAATTGTTCACGAACAATATCGCATAACCAAAACGATAAAAAAAAAAAAAAAACGCAATTACAGTTTATATTATATTACATTACGGCTTTAAAAAATAAAAATACGTTTCCTTTAATTGTTTTTTTTTTTTTTTACCTTAAACGTCACTAGTCGTTTTAACGTTTCCGTGTCACGTTTAAGTCTGCCGGAGTCACCGTACTTTGTATACAAAAAATGCCTAACGGAAAAAACTCTCAAATCTCGTAAAACAGTTAGATTTTATTTTTAAATTTTTAACACGATTATTATTGTAAGTCACGTTGAACATTGAATTTTTTAAATTGAAATTCTTGAAAGTTATATTAAGCGTCCCAGATATTTCGAATTTTTTTAATTCTCTAACCTTCTTTTCCCCTGATTTAAGTACAGATTCAGAAAACGCAGGTTCAAAGAAACCGGTAAAAAGTTTTGGTCTTTCAAGTGAAAAAAAAAAGAAAAAAATAACTGTTATAATTTGAGCGTTTTACATGGCGTGAGTCTTTCCCGGGAATTCATTTTCGTCAGTGAAAACGGCCGAAATCTCTCCCCCTAAAGCAGTGGCAATGCAGTAAGATTAATGGAAAATTGTTTGTCTTTAAGTGTTCGTTGAAACGATAAAAATAATTTTACATACATTACGGAATTTTAGAAATTTTACAATCTCAATTTATTATTGGCATACTCTGGTGTTTGTGGTGGAAAACGGTTTAATGCGATCGGGATTTTTTCGCTCGAATTCGTCATGAATTAGTCAACTATAATTATTACGGCCGGGTGCCTGTTAAACGAAATAAAATTGTCTGTCGGTGCATGCGAAAACGTGGATTTTTACCTTAAATATTTGATCACGGTCGTAGTAAAATAAACCAATAAAAAATAGTAAACGCGAATAATAATAATTTGAACATTATTGTCGAGTATTTACCCCGTAAAATAAACGACCGACCGAAACTAAACAAACCATTATTATAATTCGTTTTTTTTACATTTTGTGATTTCGTGTTTTTAATTATCCGTCACATATTAATTAAAAATACATCGAAATTCGCAAAAAATTCGACAATTTATCACCGTTATATTGTACGCGATACCCGAATTGATACCCGACGCTGCGGGTCACGATTACGTAGACAAAAAAAAAAAATAAATAAATATTGCTTTGGTAATCCTGGACGGTAATTATGGTAATGTCATAAAATAACATGTATGTGGGTCCGATTTTACGTGAGATAAATGTATCGATCAAATACGTGTGAAATATTTTTTACACTTTTTTCATACGTATACTCTTAAACAGTTTAGGAAGTACCTAAATCATGTACCAAATATAAAAATGTTAAATAGTCCAACTACGGTCGAAATCGTTAGACGGGAACAAAAACAATTTGTTAAAACTACGAGCGGTAACATTGACATTAGCGGAGGTGCGTTTTTATTTTTTATTACTTCCACGAGTTCATGCAATTTGATCGATTTGTTATTTTGTTTTTCGGTGTTTTTTATTTAACCATCGCAACCTGCAAAACAAATTATTGCGGGGCTGTAAAAGACCGCGCGGAAAAATCGTGTTGTTTTTTGAAAGACGCGGATGATATATGATATTTTTTTAGTTTTGGCAAAACCTTCATCAATGGGGGAAGAGGTAGGCTGAAAACACGTAACGGGTAAATGCTGTACTTTTTCCCCCCAGACGCTAACGCCGCCGACACGGCAGTTGAACAAGACCGTTTTATTAAATTAAATTGTTAATTTGAAATTAATTTTTCATTTTCGGTTTTCTTCATAGTGGCAAAACCCGGTTAAAGAACGGTTAAAGGCGATTCGTTTTTCATACATTTAGACCTAATACGCTGGAGTGAAATTATTTCAATTTATGTTTTGACAATTAATGACGTTTTGCAGGAAAAATATTTTTATTTTTGTTTTTGTCGGTAACACTTTGAATTATGAGTTTATTTTGAGAAAAAAAGCTAAACTCTTCATCGTGTACTTGAACTAAATAAAAAAAAAAAGAAAAAAAAATGTTCCTATACAACTTGGACAAGAAATCAAAACTCATTTGTCTATGGGTATCGGGCGGTAAATTACCGGGAACGTATCATAATGAAAAGGGTTTTCAAACTCTGGGAATGGTCTTAAGACGGTTTTAAAAACTGTTTCTAACCCCAATATGTCGAATAAACAGTTTTATAAAATTGAAAAAAAAAAAAATAATAAAAAAATAATAATTCGAACGTTTAGTTAAAACCGTGCGGGAAAATCTCCGAATCGTGGTAAATCAAAACAAACGAAAACGATACCCTGTATAACCGTTGTTCCCTACGATAACCGAATTCCCGACTAAACGCTGGACTCGAACCGTGCATTATACCTACCCATGATATATTACGTGTTCGTGGGCGCGCGCGTTTTATACTGTTGCGAGAAAGACGAGCGTGTGATTTATGACTACGTATCCCGGAACATCATGATGTGATATTCTAGCGGACTTTAAAAAGAATATTATAAAGCCCATTATCTGGCCGGGGGGTCGCCGCGTCGCCGGTGGTTTGCCGATCAAAAGGAGAATAATTTCTCAGCTTATCATGCGCAAAGGGGTTTGGACGGTACGGTGGTGGATTGAATAAAATATGAGAAACGAAAAGAAAAGAAGAACAAAAAAAAAAAAAAAAAGACCACACAGTAAAATCGGCCGTTGTGATGCGACGTATTAAAATACGTGTGATTACTGCTATTACAGAACACCATAAATTGTAATATTGATCGCTAACCAAAAGTGCGAACCAAAATCGATCGACGGTCAATCGAAATGGCAATGTAACGTTCGGTAACTAAACAGTTATTGATATTGTGTATTATCGTTGGGCCTTGATCGCACGGTGCCAACTAAAATTCCATCGGATTCGTTTCGTCTCGTTGAAGTATCTCTGAACGGTTATTGTTTTATTCTCATTTACCGCGATTTAAATTTGTGCTTAGGGCAACGTGCTTATCCTACCGTCATATCGCCGTATTTCGATTGCTTTCGAGCAATATGAATATTTTGGTACGTGTCCAACAGCCATCCATCCAAATAGACCTGTCGTTCGGTTTAATGTTGGGAAACAATGCAATATAATAATATGCATAGTGACAAGAGTCGAAGACGTTCCGGTCCAACGTGTATGCGGAAATTATTGTGATAACAGTGATAAATAATTCTCTCTCGCATACCACTGCACCCCACACTCAATTACTGTCCGATAAACGGAATAGCTGTGACGGTATTGCAATCTCCACAAAGACGGCGGAAAATGGTTACGCTGATATTATGTACAGAGCGATCTAGTGTACAATGTGGCAGTGAAACATGTCTGTTGGTTATAATGTCATAGTACCGGATTTATTTATTTCTAAACAATATGAATAAAATAATCATTTCAGATAGCGTATACGGTAAGTCTTCGTTTCACGTCGAGTTTAGGTTCCTGGAAAAAACAACGTTAACCGAAAAAAACGAATAGTGAAACAATTTTTGTATCGCACACTCACCGGCTAATAAACAACAAAGTAGGTGCATACTATTAGAACTATCATAATTGCACGATTAAATTATTTAATTTATACACGGGTATAATTGTTTGTATTCAATTATATTAAATTACATATTACACTGAAAATTTACGAAAACTTATAACTATAGACAAACTCGTAACTATAATTACTCATGGATTTGGATATGTATTTACAGTTTAAACATTTAAAAAATGAGTCTGGTATTGGCCGTTTAGCTGCATATTTTTTTTTTATCACCATACAATTGGGTAACACGTTAAGCTGTTCAAATCATTTCGCTCAACCCGTGCGAAATTCTTCCATGGTTTAAATCTTTATCATTTATAATTTGAATGCCTTGTTCGATTAATCGAAAAGCTTTAGATGACCCTTTTACCGTGAGTGCTTTTTCAATTGGCTTTTCACTTTCTTCCTTCTGAACTTTGTCGTAATGTCGATTTCGATTCGATTCTAATAAATCTCCAATTACTCGGTCCTTCCTCACGAGAAGAAATCACTTCGTCGGTATAGTTTTCTTACGTCGCGGGAAATTTATTTACAAATTGCCTATACGACTTTAATATGCATAAAGGACGTAAATTGTACGGCGCAACGGCGAGACTACGCTGAATGAGGTGCCGTTAAACGAGGACTCACTGTACATCGGTGCGCGTGTGAAATGGTATTTTTTCGGTAACCGGTAATTTCGGAAACTATCGCATTGATCGACACGCATTATTTTTCGAACGAGTACACCGCGGAGCAGGTTTTGAGCGTGATTCCGCTCTTGCAATTCAATAAAAAAAAAAAATCGAATAATTAATTTTTATTTATATCCGGCATATACGCCCCCGGCAGTGTTCAAATTATGACGAAACGGAATCGGCGACCCGCCGACTGTCGAACGGAAACGCAAGTACGGCCTGAAAATCCGTTTCTCCGTTTACGTTGAAATACGCGTTCAATACGCTTGTGCGAGAAAAATAAATGAATATATTATCGGATATGCCGGGCGAATCGGCCCAGTGCGGTACGAACGCGGTACGAATTGTGTGTAACGGCTTCGTTCGGACGCGGCGAAAAATATATTATTATACCTGAGGGGTCACCGAGAGCGTACTGCGTCGTCGATATATTATTACGACGTCAAAAGGCCGGTCGAAAATCGCGCGTTTTTCTTATTTCTTTTTTTGTATTTTTTTTTTTTTTTTCGGGCCCCATCGCTCCGTCAAGCCACGACGGAATTATCGTATTTACCTGTTGTCCCCTCGGCCACGGCGGAGCCAACGTGAAGAGGGAGGGAAAATATATAGGGTGTGATGCGAGAATGGTCTGCGTATATATATATATATATATATATGACCGCGTATAAGTGTCGTCGGGAGTGTGATAAATGCGATTTCTTATCATCGTCACCGGAGCCGAATGATGTATAACCCGCCACGGTGTTCATCAATCTGCCTCCGCCCCCGCAGTTTCGGCGCACACGCGTTGTCCGCGCAACGACAATCATCACTCGTTAGCCGTCCTCTCTCCGCCCCACTCGTCTCGTCCGAGCCTCCTCCCGCTCGTCCCGACCGCCGTCATTCCCCGTAGATCGCTATTAAAATACGCAAGGTGTGTGTGTGTGTGTGTGTGTGTGTGTGTGTGTGTGTGCGTGCGCGCGCGCGTGCGGTTACGAAAGGATTTTAATCGAAAAGGTATTCTCGACCGTTAGCCTTTTCGGATAGGTGTCACGGTAATATATTTTATAATATGTACATGTGTGATACACGTCGTAGCCATCGTACGCAAGCATAGAGTTTTGAAAACAGACGTCTGTTTACGGCGGGTGTACAATTTTTTATCGTCCGGAATATCACGTCCGAACGGTCGAATCGAACAACCGAATATATTCGTGAAATTCATACTTTTCGGGTTTGCTTGAGCCGAATCACTTCGGTCTGAATCGTAGGAGACGCGCCGAGAAGTCTCGCTTCCGCCCACCGCGTGCGTTTCCTTTACGTACGAATCGCACCGCGTACACCGCCGCTGCGCGCGTTTCGCTTTAACTCATTAGTGTTCACTGAAAGGTAATAACGCGAAAGAAGAGTAAGACAAAAATTTTCTTTTTAATTGTCTTTTTTTTTTTTTTTTTTTCGTTGTTATTGTTGTTGTTTTGTTTTTTCATTATTATTTATTGGCATACTTTTATGTGTACACTGTTTAATACTCTTTTTAAGGTGGTATAACAAAATACGGGGTTTTTATTCCTCTCCCCTCGAATATCACTTATTAAATTACAACGTAAAAGCTATTCCCGCGCCATAGTGTATATAATAAAAATAGTTTAAAATGTCTACAGGAAAAAAAAAAAAAAAAAAAATGAAAGTTTATTAAAAATATTATACTTCACCCCGGCGTGGCGCGGTGGCGGCGGCGCGGCGGCGGTGTGCAGTATATTATAAGTTTCACGACCCGACGACTCTTAATGAGAAACTTCTTACGGTTATTTTTTTTATTTTTTTTTTTTTTTTCCTTTTGTAAAAACTTTGATATTTCGTCGTATAATAAAATTGGACGTTAAATTTTAACGCCGGTATTTTTTTTTTTTTTTTCCATATTTATTACATTATATACTCCCGCCGGCGGCGGCGGTTGTCGCGCGACGTATAATCGCGTTTAATTTGCAATTTTATGCGACCGTGTCGATCGCGCAGTCGCGCCCCATTAGTATAAAAATCGAACGGCCGAAACGCGAAACCGCAATAACGTAATGATAATAATAATAACAGTTAATCGGGCCGAGCGTGAAAGGTGTCGTTCGTGGTTTTTTTTTTTTTTTTTTTACGAAGCGAATTTTCGCGAACAGAGCCGCAGACATTGTCGGCCGGTACCGCGGACGCGCGTGCCGCCGTTTCGGGGTGGGGGGGGGGGAATTCGACGAGCAGGATCGGCAACGGCGACGGACGGTAATTCGATCCGGACACGCGCACCGAACGATCGACCGTCGCGCAGAGTGTTGCGGGCGGACCGGCGGGCGATACCAGAAACGCGTCCACACGCCGGCCAATATTCGGGGGGACGGAATGCGGTAACGGGCGGAACACGGAGGACCGCGGAGCGCGTTACGGCCTTTTGTTCGGGAGGCGGCCCTCGTCGGGCTATTTCGAAACGCGGCCCGTTCCCGCGCAGTGCGGGTTTCCGCAGACCGGTTCGCCGCGCCCCGTTCGTTTTCGGAAAAACGCACCGCCGACCGGAACCGGAAACCCCGCCCGTCCGGGCCGCGCAGAGTGCGCGTGCGCGGCGGGTCGGACGCGGCGGATTCCGCGGCCCTGGAAAAAAAAACGAACGGTTCGAACGGGCGCGCGGGACAAAAACGCCGCCGCCGTCGCGATCGCGGCGAAGCCGACCCGCTGGTTTCTCGCGCCGACACCGTTCGGTAATCTGTACCGAGTTAATAAGCCGCGCGAACCCGCGGCAACGACGGGCGTGAAATATCGCGCGTCGCGCCGACCGTGGAATCGCTCGTGTTTCGAAAAAAAAAACCAAAAACCGGTATTTCCGGTATTACTCCGGCGTTTCGGCGGTGTTCGCGTCGGTTCGGCCCGCCGTCTTGTATCGCAACCAGACCGTTCTGTTACCCCGGTCGTTTCGCACGGCGATTTCGCATCGCCGTTTTCCGAAATCGTCCACACGTTCGACCGGGATTATCGGGCGTTCGAAAATTACGGTGTTCGCCGTACGTTTTCTATATATATGTATACGCCATGGTCGCCGCGTTCGGGTCGCTTCGCGTACGACGGTTTTTTTTTTATATTCATCGTCCCGGTTCACCGCACGCGATCCCCGGGACCGGTCGGTGCGGTCGACACGCGATACCGAAAATCGGCGTCTCTACAATATTGAAAAACGACGTCGTTGTGTCGTTGTTTTCGAGTGTTCCGCGTCCGGTGTGTGGGACCGGGATAGTCTATAATATCCTCTCCCCCCCCCCCTTACCCGCTAGCTTTGGGAAAAAAAAACAAATCGGATCGATACTGATTTTATCGAGACGGGCGGGGAGGACTATCGGGTCATTTCGAAAAACATCCCAAATCAACGACCGTCGCGTTGACGATAACGCGCGCGTGATAAATGCGACCGAACGTGCGAATTTAGCGGCCGTCCGCGAGTTCGAAGCCTGCCGCGACGCGCGCGCGCTACGTTATCTCGCGCTCGTCCGGGCCGCGTGTACGACCCCGCGGCCCGCGTTATAATCCGACTTGCCGGGACCGCGAAAACGCGTCGCGACGCGGTCGCCGTCGACCGCGTCGCGTCCGCGTGCGCCGTGCCGTGCCGCTGTCTCGGGCCCCGGGAACGACTGCGGCGGAGGGAGACGGCGACGTGGCGCGAGCGAACGCGTAAATTACGACAAATCTACACGCGCGCGCGCTCGCGCTTTGTTTTATCGTTGTCGTCGTCGTCGTTGTTGTTATCGTTGCGCGTGTAGACAGTCCCGGCGAAACGTCCAGCTCGCCGCTCGCCGTCCGTCCCGCGGAATTCCCGTGTTTTTTCCCTCTCGCGTTCGGTTATTCGTTTTCGTTTCGTTTCGCTACTGTTTTTATATTTTTTCTCGACAACCGACGCCCCGGAGATTTACGATATTTTACCGCCGGACGAGGTCTGTGCGCGAGGGTTTATTTTATTATTATTTTTTTTTCTCCATTCCGGACGTACGCATGGACGCGAACGATTCCGACGACGCGCGCGCGTTTCGCCGTCTTACCGCGGCGCGGGAGGACGGCGCCGCACACGTGCGCCGCCGTGAATATCGTTAAGTCACCGGCGCCCGGGCGGCACACGCCCAACTTCCTAACCGCGCGTCACGTATCGAGGAGGCGGCGCAGGTTGTGCCGTTAAAGATGAAGACGACGGAGTTAGAAGGCAAGGAAAAAAAAAAAAAAATAATAATAAAAAATAAATCATAATAATAAATCAGCCGATTGGTCGCCGTGCGACGAATGTCAAACACGCGTCACGGGTCGAAAAACGCGCCGCAGGAAAATATGTTCGCGGGGGAAACGTACGCGCGGCGTTTCCGATATTATTTTATTTATTTATTTTTTTTTTTTTTTAGTTTTTTGCCGGTCTGCGAATATTTCCCCGCGAAAACAGAGAAATGTCGCGTCGCTGTATTGTGTTCGGCGGCGGCGACGGTCCCGCAACAGTATCGAATGCTGTACGCATAATACGCCGCGTATTTCGCGACATTTCGTTGAAAAACCACAGCTATACCCCGAGTATACACCCGAACGGTTTTCCATAGAAACGAAATTCGTCATGCGCGACTTTCCAACGAATCGTGAACATTTTAATTTTTGGAATCTGAGTGGAACGAAGAAGCTTATGGTTTTACAAAGATGTTTTTTTTTTTTTTTTCCTTTGTGGACACGTTTTCTACCAGAGGACTCGATCCGATTTTTTAGTGTGGGAAGCACCTTTTCTGAAAAGAAATGATACTTTAGGGAGGTCGTTTTTCGATATTCCCCAAGGGTTTTCACAAAAAATTCGGAAAACCGAATAAAAAAACGAGAATATGTACCAAATATGTATTTTTTTTCTGCGGACAATTTTTCTACCAGCCATTTTTCCCAAATTCTATATGATATCAATGTTTTCTAAAAGGAAATTTCACTGGAGAGATAATTTAAAGAGGTTGTTTTTCGATTTTTCAAGAATTTTCCCAGCAAATGTAAAAAACCAGGAGAAACGTGGAACAACCGCGAGAAACGGGAAAATCGGTAGATGAATGAAATATTATCAAAGAAAATATATAAACCCCATTTAAACAATTTACTATAATATAACATATATAATTGTTGACAAATTGCATCACTATCAATTCAACTCCGAATCGTTTTTTCATAACCTTTGGCTTATCGTTGCTTACAGGTATACAATAAATTACTTGTAACGGTAGCTGTACCCGTCCCTATATCAAAGGATTTTTTTTTTTTGGTTAACTATGTCATAATAAAGGATTCCGAACACGTTGAATTAAGTGCTGTTTTTATATTGTGCAATGATTTCGTTCGGGATGTTAATAGATAATTTGTTAGGTAAACACTAAACGTCGTGTTTTAGGTTTTGATTGTAGCGAAAAAGCCGCATTAAGTTTTATTCAGACGTATTTTTCCCGTAGAATAATCATTTTGGTTAGATAGTAAAAATACTCCCGTTTAACATCGATTTATCCTTTCGTAAAGACTTCAACATTATGTATTCTACCATCCGAAACACTGACCTGAAACAGTGGTACGCACATCAGTAGTATCAGCTCTTTTTTTTTTCTTCACGTTAACAATTTTTGTATTAAAAATCGTGTTACAATCAAAAAGCAACGTGAAAGATTTTTCGTATCATTTCGGATTCAGTTGGTACATTGAGGAGGTGACTTTTTGATTTTCCTTACGGTTTTTATAACAACTGATAAAATGTGTAAAAAAAAAAACCATTTAGGACCTTTGAAAAACTGACAAATTTACGACGGTAAAAGTTTCGTTAGTATAGATTTCGTTTTTCTACCGGTTAATATGTTTCGTTAGAATTCGAGTGCGGAAATTGAACGTTGTCGCTTTAGGACGCTGTTTGTTGATTTGCCTTTAATTTCCAATGTTACCGATAGAAACCCGAAAAAAGTGAGAAAAACGGCAAAGTTTACGAAAATAACGGTTTCGTTGTTTTCGGCGTCTTTTTCTCGGCATTTAGTTGGAAAAGTCACCGTGTCCAATACAAAACAAACAAACGTTTTTAACAATTTATAAATTCGACAAATTCAAACGGAACTCGATCGCGTGCCGGCGGTGACAATGTATCCGACGACAATACATTCGGGAGTGGAGGTAATCTCGTGTTTGAGCCGTACGTTCAAATGAACGTCGTATCTCTGTCGGATTGAATTTATAACGCGTATGTGTCTCCGGCTCAATACAAAGCCCCGTTAACGTTTGAACCGAGCGACGCACCGCAACCGCAGCGTTCCCGGTATGAATGCCGGCCGTCGCCATTGACCGGAGCTCTCAAACTCTCTTTTAACCGGCGCCCGACGGGACCGGGCGGGCGTAGACGCGATAATACCGACCCCGCGGCCGCCGCTCTCGCCCGCGAAACGGTTCCCGGACCGTCACCGCGTTTCCCGGCCGTTGTTGCGGCGTTTATCACGAGGTCCGAACAACGTTACCAACGCCGTTACCGTCACGGTTGCGGTTATCGCTACCCGCGGGCACGGGCGCGGGCGCGAACCGGCTTCGTGCGTCGAACGTCGCGGCGATCGAACGGCCGTCGCGAGAAACGGAGTGCGGCGTTGACGCGTCCGCGTGAACGGCGGGTTTTACTTTTACGCGCCGGCGTTACGCGGACGGCGACGGCGTTGCGATCGGCGCCGTGACACGTTTGCGGCGGAGACGGCCGGGGTTTTCGTGGTCTCGGCTCTTCGATCCGCGGCGGACTTCCGCGCGGTAGCGGACTCCGGTGCGGTCCGCGCGGAAATTTGATTTTTTTGTGGTTTTTTTTTACCTACATCGTCCGCGTCGTCGGTCGCGGGACGGCCGGATAGAACGAACATACGATTGCGCGTACGCGAGAGATACGCGAGAAACGGCGTTCCCGTCAACGCGCGCACACGGTAAAAATCCGCATAAAATAAAGCTTTTATTAAACAATACGGTCCCTACGGGTGCTGAAAAAATACGGACACCACGCTTTATGAACTGACGTTAAAATATTATCGGATCGAAATTTGTTTAGCCGCGAAAAAAAATTCATACTAAAAACACTCGTGTGTACGCGATCCGTAATTATTTATAAAACGCGAATGTCCGGCACACTCAATGACTTTTGTCGCGTTCGATGTTCAAACGTTGTTTCTCTCTTATAATAATTGATGGACCCCCGCGCTGTGATTCCTCTGTTTCAGTGGCGAACGACCGGCGGTCCCTGCACTCACCGGGGCGGTTATAGTTTACCGTATTGCTGATTTGCAATTATGCAAGTGTACATTGTAAATTGTAAAGACAAAAGTCGTAGGGGGAGAATAATAGGGCAGTGGTCCGTACTGGTGGGAAATATACAACAGCGTCCCGAGTCCGATGTTGAGTTACGAACCATTGTTGTATTTTGTAAGTATTTCAAATCTGAAACTGAAATATTCTGTTAACCCCTTGTCTGGATAAAATTCGTATTATCTGCGTGACAACACTGTACGGCGTTTGCAGGTCAGTTTTAAAATGCGATATTATTTCGGAAATCCGGCGGTTCGCTTACTTACGGACTTTATCATTATTATTATTATTATTTTGTATTTTTTATTTTTGCCGCAAAGGGTCCGTTATTTTGTTTGATCGTGTTTCCGATTACCGGTGGACGGATTGAGCGGTCTTAACGACCGTTCGGGGCGGGCGGACGGGGAAAACGCGTCAAATGCCTAATGGACTGTTATCGTCACTGTCGTCATCGTCTCCGTCGCGATCGCTACCCGCCACCGAACGCGTCTTATCGACCGGAAAGAGACAGCTATACGCATAATACGATGAGGGGGACGGGGCGGACTTAATAAATAATAATAATAACATCTAGAATAGAAAAAAAAAAAAAAGAAAGGAAAATCCATAATCAAATCCGGCCAGTGACTTAATAAAATATATTTAACAATTTAAAAGTTCAGTTACTTTTTTTTTTTGATAAATTTTAGTTAGTAAAAAAAAAAAAAAAAAAACTGAATTTTAGAAAATGATTTATTACAGTTTATCATATTTCGTCGATTCGTTTAATGAAGAATTTCAAATTGAATAATTTATTTCTGTTGAAACTTAAGTTATTTCTGTCCAACTCTTCGGTATTTGGTTATATTAACTCATTGTGATATGTAATACTAACCATCCCACCTGATCATTTTACATTCGATGCCTATGATAATATTAAGATTATGTTTGTATATTATAGTTATAATGTCATTGAAAACAAAGTAACTTTTTATATAACTGTCTGAACTTGTCATTTTCCTGAATATTTACTACTTGGCTTATAACTTATAAGTTACTCAAGTTTCTTCTATATTTTTTTAGATTCTTAGTAGAGCGAAGAAGCTTATAGTTCAACAAAGATGTTTTTTCTTTTTATTCTGTGCACAACTTATCTACCAGCAATTTTGTTTCAACATTTAATGACAGTTATGTTTTTAAAAGAATCTTTCTCTAAGGAGGTACATTAGAGAGGTCATTTTTTTGATTTTCCGAGAGTTTTCTCAAAAAAATGTAAAATGCTGGGAAAAAAACATGGGAAAACCGGGATAAAAGTAGGATAACCATGGAAATCGGTACAACATTAAACAAATATTATTAAAGAAAATATATAGAGCCTTTTTAAATATTTTTTCTATAATATGGTATATATTTGTGACAAAGTATCACTATTAATTAAACTCCTCTCAGAATCGTTTTTTTGTCAGATATACATTAAATTCTCTCTTACCTTACCTTTTTTGAATTTCACTTTGACTTAGCTCGATTTCTTTATATTTTCTAGAGTTAAACGAATAAATCATCTTTAGTTTATAGACAATTAAAAAATTGGGTGGTAAAACTCGCCCAGTTTTTCTAATGATAATAAACGTGGTTGATGTTTGACTGTTTCGCGGCGAGTTTTCTTTGTTTACCATTTTATAATTACGTCGATACGAATCTCGCACGGTGGTGACCGATTCGGTATAATATTACGTTTACCAACGGCCCGATTTAGCGTGTTTCCTAGTCGTGAAATCCGATTTTCGTGGCCGCGAAATGTTAAATAAAACGAAAAGACACATGCGCATATGAATTCTACACGTTTATCGGTCGTTTTTTACGGGACTTCCGATTTTAATACGGACCGGGCCGACGTTTAGGCGGTAAGTTAAAAAGCCCCGTCTTCCGTATCAGCTTCGTCGACCAGATATCGGGCTCCAATAAAACGTCGTTCGATATTTTATTTTCTAGGTTGGGCATCTAAAACACACCTACAGTATAAAGTGACAATTAGAGTTCGGACGTTATAGGTATTTCACTTTTTTTCTTTTCTACCCGTCCAGTATGAAACTACGCCAGCTATAAATCCATTCCATGCTGTATTGCAGTATTAGTAGACGAAGTTTTATGTTGCCAGCTTGTTTTCCCTTTTTTTTTTTTTCTAATTTTTAATTACTTTTTGAGTTTTAATTAATAATAATTTAATAAATATCGTGGCATTTTACGATTTTAAGTGTTTTACTTTGTTTATGTTTTTTAGAGATAGAAAATCCGAACTCTAATATTATAAGATAAATGGTCGTTATCGCAGGTGAGTAACGGCCGCGCGAACATGGTTATCTTTGAAACGTAGACATCTATCATTAATTTAATTTTTTTAAAATTGGTGTTTTTCTTCCTCGTCTCTAACATTTCGTTGTTTTATTATTCGCAAACGTGATTATTTTGTTTTTTTTTGCGATTCGTCGTCCTTTTCAGAAGGTCAGCGACAGAAACGATTGCTACCATTATTCTGATCTTCTGGACTCTAATATAGCGACACCGGAAAAAAATGCATCCTCGCAGTCCCGATGAGTAGTAGCACAGCTATTAGAGAGGGAGGAGGAAAAATAAAAATAAAATCGTTAGAATACGCGTATTTTCTGAAATTGAAAATAATAATTTAATTTCAAACCATATTTATAGAAAAGTCTTACGGCGAACAATGTCGGCCGTTTAAAAGAGAGCCGTATACAGTTTCGCGTATACGTACACTGGATGCGAAAAGAGGTCACCCGGGGGAAAAAAAAAAAAAAAAAAACCCATTAAAACGTGCGTCGACGACAATGCAGTGCCGGTTAATAGGTTAAAAAAAAAAAAAAGAAAAAATAGAGAAAAAAAGAGACTAGTAATAATAATAATAATAATAATAAAAAAAAAAAGAGACCTTGTCACTATTTTGTAATCGCACAATCTGTCGCGCCGGTTAACGAGTCCGCTTAAATAACGCGTGCAACGCCGTGCAAGTATAATATAATACTATCCGTTTAATCCGTTTCGATAGTATGCTGTTTATACGAGAGAGGGAGGTAATTTTTTTTTTACACGTTTACCTATTGGATTTTAAATCCTGAGTGGAGCGAAGAGGCTTATAGTTTTACAAAGTTGTTTATTTTTTAATTTTTTTTTTTTTTTTTTTATATGCGCGCAAATATCTACCGGAAAAATTACTCGGACTTCTACGCGCAGTACCGTTTCTGAAAGAAAATCGGCGTGGGGAGGTGCTTTTATGGAGGTCATTTTCCGGTTTTCTCTAGAATACTGTCATCAAATGCGAAAAACCGAAAAAAAAAAAAAAAACGGGAAATTTGACGAAATATAATAAATTTGATCGTACGATTTTTTTTTTCTGCGGTCAGCTTTTCTACCAGTGATTTTACTCCATCTTTTATGATAGCAATATTTCTGAAAGAAAATTTCACTAGGAAAGTACTTTGGAGAGGTAATTTTTTGACTTTCTCTTGAGTCTTCCTAAAAAATGTGAAAAACCGAGATAAAATATGTGAGCCCGGAAAACCGTTGGAAAACTAGGAAAATTCGTACAACTTAGAACATTCCGTCTATATCTTATCTTCCCGACATCTCACCACCACCGGTGGTTGCACTCGTCCCCGTTACCTTTTTTTTTTTTTGTGTTATTCCTCGTTATCATCGCCATGCTCATCGTTGGTACGTATCTCCTATATAAATATATTTTGCTCGTGCCGACGCCCGCGCAGCCCAAACGTTTATTGTTTTCATTACAATAAAATGTACAGGGTTATTTCGCGTACAGGGGATTATTTTTTTGCGGATTTCAAGCGAATTTGATTTTTTAGGGTGTTATTGTGTTTTGTTTGTTCGATCAATTATTGTTATAGCGTAATACGGAATCCTTTTAGCAAACGTTTATTTCTACGTAATACTTCCAAATATGTTGTTTACCTATGCTGTATACACATACTTTAAACGAGTATCCATACCGTACACTGTACATTTTCTCTCTTCTAACGCCCACGATTACTCTTTGCCGCTACGCTCGTTATACGCCTAGCCACTCGTCTCTGTCTGGAACTATCGCTCTCCAGCTTTCAACTGCTATAGGCCTACCGAACCTTTTTTTTCCCAACGTCAGTCCGTATTTTTCAGAGTTTTTTACCTGGAAGAAAGAATCTTGAGGTTTCTACTCCGTAGCCGACCTAAACTGTCTCGCTTTCGTCTTTTCTCTTTATCTGGCCAAACTTTAATTAATCCTTTTGTTCTTTTACATAGCTGCTTGCTATATTGGTGCGAATTCCACGGTAAGCATCGCAACTCAGTTATCTATTTTATCTCGTTTATCGATCTTCCATCGATCGGCAGTCCGTGTATTTCACTTCGGATTTTGTTTTCGAATGTTTTCAAGCATTCCGTTTACACATTTTAGATTTTAACATAACGACCGCTCACGTTAAACACAGATTTGAATATGGAATATTGTTAAAAAAATTTCGATTTGCGCATCGAATATTGTACCGTTCATGAGTTATAACGAATCACAGTTTTGACCGGAGGTGTAGGAAAAGATTATCATGCAGAAATATTCATCAACTTTATCACCTTTTTCAATTCTTTTGATGTAAATTATGAACTTTTTTAGTTCTGTATAATTAAAGAGAGGTGAATATATTATATGAAATACCGGAAATGAAATTCACTTGACATCCACCGATAAAACGGCTGGATCATGATTAAATAATCACTCTGTATAATAGCGGACGATTTTCCGGGATGCCGGGCAAAAATTTTATACAAAACATGCATAAACACACAAACACCAACCAACCTACACATATACACACCATGGCGGATCTCATCGTTAATGAAATTCCGATGGTGTTCGTCCGGTTCCTGGCGCGTCATGACGTATTACAGTTACACTTTGCGGGATGATGGGAGGGAGGGAGAAATTGGAAATTCGACATGCTCGTGCGAGGATACGATGATAATAGGAGAACGCAAGAAAAACAAGTTGATAATAGTGTAATATTATTTGGGAATTCAGGACAGTGTGCAGTTTAACGATGGTAATAACGTAACACGAATTGTTACTATAATAATATACGTTGACCGTGCGGCGATCTGTCGGACGATTAATCTCGGCACTCCGGAGCCGACTAATAATTAACGACAGTATTGCGAACGGAGGGAAAAAAGGAACATTATCTTTTTTTGCCCTGTTTCGTTTTGGATTAGTTTTATTTGTTGTGTCTAGAAAAAAAAAAAACAACTACCAATTATACCGACTCGAATTGATTTATTGTCGAAGAAGGCCAATATTGTTCGTGCCTTTAATGAATTTTAACATGGATTTTATCACGAAATGCGTCAATAAAATCACGTACCGCGTTCATATCGAACGAATAAAAGTTCGAAAATTTTTAGCAGCCGTAAATTAAATACAGTCAACGATAATGTCAATTTACGGTATAGACGTCTATAATTATTTCTATAGCCGAAACATAAAAAAAAAAAATAACAGAAACCGTTACCGCGTAAATTGTCAAGATTTTCTTTCCGACTATTAAGAAAATTTACTGGGAAAATCTAAAAATGTCACTGTTTCAAACCGATATCGGTGTTATTACAGTTTTCGTTGCGATCATTCGGAATTTCGTGATCAAACCAGTTGTTCGGCACCGTGCGATTTATCGAGTCAAAACGTTCACAAAATCGTTTTGTTGTTTACCACGAAAAACGATTACAAATTTTGAATTTCGTGTCGAGTCTTTTTCGAACCGATCAACTAACATACGCCGTCGTTTGTTCAATAATTATTTTAATGTATGCATAAAAAAAAAAAAAATACACGTGTATTTCAATTAAACGGATACCGGCGGACGCCGACGGACCGATGAAACGCTGTTCGACCCCGAATGTTCTGTCGTGTCGTGCCGAACGGATTTGAATCGAGCTCGAATCGAAGATACCGCGACGGGAACGACGGGACGCTTCGCGACTCGGACGACGTTGACCGGGACCCTTGTAATCCGAACGTGATTGCTATATAACTTGCCGACGACGAGAAAGCGAATTTCGTAACGATACGATTACGATACGACAACGGTACGCGCCCGCTATCGGGACAGTTGCGGCCCGGATGTCGGTTACGCCGTCACGGTCAAGCCGGGAACGATGACCGGGCCCGGGCCGAGACTTTGTACCTCTGCAACGAATATTGTGCAGCCGTAAACCGACAATACCGATGCGATGTTATAGGCTACATTCGTTCGGCCGTTAATCGGTTGCCGCGGGACGAGAGCGGGGCTTCCGATTTCGTGCGGAACACCGCGTGACCGGCACAACGCAAACGGGTCATACGTCGCCGGGTCGCGGCAGTCACTGTACGGGCTCTCCCCGTCAATTTTTTATTCGCCCTCGCCCGGCGGCCTTCTGAAGCGACCGGCGCGGTGCCGTGTTCAATCGAAGTCGCGCGGTTCTCGGATCGTTTCGCGGCTCTCAGTGTTTGTTCGAATCCTTTCGGGTACATTCGATTCCGGTGTTAACCGTCCGGGCGACGCGGTTCGGTTTTTCCTCGAAACGAGAGAACGGCAGTTTCCGGTCTGCGCGGGCCACGCCGGTGGGGGGGGGGTCGTTGAGTGAATAATAAATTTAATATAAATCCAATAACGAATACGCAACACAACCGTGTCGGTTTTATTGGTTTTTCTTCCGCGACTGCGTTTACCGATGCGGTTGTCGTGTTTCTCCCGCTCCCGGCCGGTTAAGCGCTTGAAAGCCACTAGACCGGATTTAACCGCACGTTAACTTATACTTTGGCGTGTGAGAATTGTTTCGAAACAGCACTGAGATGAGTTATGCGGTATAGGTGTCTAACAGTAATGTATAACGATGTACAGTTGTGTCCCGCTCCGAATACTGATATATTCGTATATTGTTGTGAAATTTCGATATGGACGATATAACACGGAAACGGCGAATTTAACGTCGGGCCAATGGCGACGGTCTGTTGCCTAGGACGAAAATTCCGAGAGGGGCGGCGTGTTTTTTCCGGACAATTTTGAAGTAAATTAAATTTGAAATATCCCGGAATTTCGTTTTCGGCAGGAGTGGGCGTGGCTGTTCTGTAAGAAGCCGCGGAAATAGCCGGTGTTAACACGTGGACGGGCGGTCCTAATTGTTAATCCGCGCGTAAAGCGACGGCACAATTACGCACCCTGTATTGGTCTTAGGCTATTCGGGAGGCACGGAAACACGGGCGAGCCCCGGGGATACGTGACAACGCGTCGGTACGCGGTCCCGGCAACGGCTACCCAATTCGTCTACCGCCTGCTGCCGGGTCCAGTCGCCATCGCGCGGGTGGATCCTGGCTATTCAACCACTGCCCGGCGACACTCGTAAGCCCGTCCGAATCCGATACGCAAATAATCGACCGTTTTATCAATCAACTAAGTACAATTAAAAATTAATTTTGAAATTGTAATTAACTTATTGAGTTACGGTAATTTTAGGTTCAGAGCGTAGATGGAGACATCTGGCGGAGAAGTCGTTCGCATTATGAAAAAAATATTATAATCGTAATATCTTTGTGTAACCAATTTATTCCTCGCTACACTCCGATTCTAAAACAAATAAATACCTAAAAATGTACACCTTATATGGTATGCATCAATCCAAGTAAAACTGAAATAATCTAATGATATTTAAGTAATTGTTGGCTACACTTATCGTCTTGCCTTACAAATTAATATTTCTTACGATCATTAAACGTTCATGCTTTATTTCCAGCGAGTTGCTATAGACACGGAAAATCTTAATTATTATAGTAAACTGTTTTCTCCTTTTTTTTTTTTTTTTTTTTTTTTGAATTAGTGAAATTGTAAATACTTACAAATAAATTGCATTTATCCTTACCGAAATAGTGTATATTCACTAGAAATGTCAGAAAACCAACCAAGAAATGTTGGATCAGAAACAGAATTCTCATACACGATGGATATTGCATCCAAACTACACGAAGATCTTGATTTAACAGAAAAAATAAAAGTACGGGATTTTCTGCAAGCATTTTTAAAAGAAATTCCTGAAGAATCAATGCAAAAATATATAAATAGTGACCAACACAAAATATTGATTCACAAATTACGATTAGTAATTGATAAAAACAACGATATATTAATAGGCATTCAAGAGATTTTTCAAAAAATATTATTGAAATCCATACTCGATTTACCCGAACCAAATTATTTAACCGCAATGTGTGCCAACATGAATATTCAGGATGATTTTGATTTCGAAAAATATACGTTCATGCTTCCGATATTCAAGGCATTCTGTTTAGCATTTTTCGTGGAGTTGTACATCCCTATAATTAAAAATCTGTGTGATAACTATCCAAAATGGCTTGATGAAAATGAACCCGTTTTATCTAATGACGAATTCTATAAGTACGTCATTAATTATAAAAAAATTTTTTTATGACGAATTTGATATAACTATCATTAAACTCTTGTTCGAAATTCCAGACATGCACTTGCGTTTGAAAATGTAAAAGCAATCAGAGATTATTTTGAAAATCAACACGATACCCATAATGAAATCGATAAACAACATGAGATTGAAGATATCGAACATTTATTTATGGATATGAATTTGTGTGGCATTAACATTATCCCAGACCACCTATATTACTGCAAAACAAATAAAAACCAATCAAACGATCTATTAGAATAATTGTGGCAGATGATGTGCTCAAAAATGTTGATCAAACTATAGAAAAAATGAAACGTCTACGATTTTAACTATAATTCAATTCTTTGTATTATATGAATTATAAATCGAATAATTCAAGTTAAAAACTAATACGAAAATGTAATTAAATTATTCATTTAAATTAATTTTATATTCGAAATATAAGAAGGGATCTTATAATTGTAGTATGATGTGTATTTTACTAAAAAGTCGTTTTTTTTTTTTTTTATATCTAAAATAGTTGTCACTCATAATTGGTAGAAATTAAAATTTATTAATAATTACGAACATTTGCCCGCCTGATTTCACACTTTAAATTGATTATGATTGTGTGTTTCCACTAGAAATCTTTATGTGATTTTGAACAATAGCATATTTTCTGAAAGAAAATGTTTGGTTTGTGAGTAAGTAAGTCGTTGTTTGATTTTGCGTGCAGTTTTTCTAACAATAACGAAAAACCTGGGAAAAATTGAAATAATACGGCGAAGTGTTTGGTAATTTAGTTTTTTTGTTTTTGTTCGGTTAAAAAATATTGTTAAGATCTGTAGTTATAAATAAACGCTGGATTTAGCATTTTGTAAACGTGGTTAAATTTCAAAAACATTCTAGTTACTTGTTGGCTATTATAGGTATTTGATATTTTCGCGATTTTTTTATGTATTTTTTCTGGTATTAAACTTATGCGACTTAAGAGATATGCTTGAAATTATAACAGGTTTTTTATTATTAACTTTCAAACCATATGTGTTTCAGATTTATATAAAATACTTTAATTGGCCCTACCGTCTTAGATTATTAGAAGATTTATTTAGTCGAATTGTTATTGTTGAAATAAAAATGAATCGTATGAAAATCGAAGAAAATCGTATGTTAAACCCGGATAACAATTGTCAATGTTGAACTATTATTAAATATTGATTTTTGATTTATTTCTCAATTTGTATAGCCTTTAAGAGCATTATTTTTTCTTTACACAAATTAGATCAATTAATAAATGTTTACGGAGTATCAGTTCCATTTGATATGAACTTATATTTGCCTTTTCTAGACGTGATAAGTTTTTCGAAAATTTTGGGCAATTTTTAAGCTATTTATAAAAATTTGAATAATTCTGTTGAAATACAGTTTAACATATTCATATCGACTACAAATTTGAACGGAAAATTTATATTTGCATCACTATCGACCGAACTGCGGTCAGAATCGTTTTTTCGTTAACATCGGTTTATCGTCGCTGACGAGTGTACGTCAAATCACCTATGACAGTGGCTGCATCCGTCCCTAACGCGCCGGGACGTCTTTTTTTTTTTAATGCGAGGCCAATATTCGCGAACGTCAAGCGCGGACGAAAAATTCTACCCGACCATTGGCCGGATATTCTACTCGTACCGTCGTCCACACGGTGGCTCGAACAAGTTTCGAAACCGTCGGATTGTAGCGAAATGTTCGTTCGCGTCGCGTCCGGCGGCGGGCCGTCCGGACGGCGAAAACTCCGGCTTACCGCGGCGTACTTGCGGAAGCGCGCGGACGAACGATCGAATTTTATACGCGGACACGTTTCGACCGTTACTCGCGTTTAATTAAACCGGCGTTACGTGCGGTACCCTCCGCCGCCGCCGCCGCCGCCGTCATAAATCGTCCCGCAACGGTGGCCGTACAACTGCGCCGGGCGATCGCACGGTTTCGGTACCTGATCCGGTGTCCCGTCATTCGTTTTCCGAGATTCGCCTCGGTACACGGTCGTTATAAACGTGTGCCGATCGTGTCCATTCGTCGTTTTCGCGACGTTCCGCGTCGCCGTTCCGGACGTCATCGCGGTGCGCGGGCACGATACGACGCGATTCGTCGCGCTCCGCTCTATCTCTTTTACGACGCGAAACGTTGTACGATTTTCAAAAAAAAAAAAAAAAAATTAATAATAATTAAAAAACGATTTTCAACACACGCGGACGGTGTGTCTACACGCATTTCCAATATTAATATTGTTTCGTAGGTTATAATTTTTTTTTATTGTTTTCTTTCGGGCGAGGTGTGGTTTAAAGGTGACAGTTCGTGAAACATTTATTCGTTCTCGTTTTGAAAAACGAAACTTTTCGTCAAACGAGTACCACGCGTACACGGTATCGAAATGTTTTCGAATATCGTCCGATAAATTCATACACCGCTGATTCGAACGGAGATATTTTTTCTAAAAATTTTGATTCGCATAACAGCACGATAAGTACCGAACACGCCGCTCGCGAGTTCAATAACATTTTACGGTTCAAACGTCTACATTTCAAACCGGTATAGTAACTCATGAACAGGTAAATTCGATGTAATAGCGATGTCGGTGTTTACCGAAGGAGCGTTCCCGTTTAAATGCAAATCTAAATTGTATGAATACACACCCGTTTATGGCGCCGAAAGATTAGGGGTAAACATGTTGGGAAATAGCGCGAAAACATAGCCTAAGCGATCCCGTAATGAATTAAAAATGAAAAAAACAAAATAAAACGGCGATCGGATTCAATAAAAATCCCCCAGAGGAAACCGCTGGACCGTGGACAAAAGAGATCCGTCCGGCGCTTTGAAAACGTAAAAAGTTAAAACTTTTCCTATTTACCCCCGCCAACCCCCAACCCCTCGCCACAACGCCGCCACCTTTTCGTTCCCCCGGAAGATGAGGTCGCGAAAACGCGATATTCGTCCGGGCGACACCCCGGCCGTCTTCTCGAACTTTAACGGGGGAAAAAAAGTAAACTCTCCGGCGCACGTATTACAGCGTTATTGTAGTCGTTTGATTTTCGAGGACCGGAAACGGACTCGGCCGAGTGATTCGTTAGTGTATTGTTATTATTGTTATTATTATTATTATGCATGGATATGAGCCAATTATAATACGCGCGCCGTTGTTCTGTTGTTGTCTGTTCCGCAAAAGCATTTGTTTAGCGACGAAAACTTTCCAAATGCAGTGCGAACGGTGGACGACGGCGGTAAATATCGTTATACATTTGAAAAAAATACAACGTTTTGTACACCTACTGCGTAGCAGCGCAAAATATCCGGTTAAAGTGTGGCGCGTACAGAAGAGGTCGGACAAACACGATACAACGGCGAGGGTAATACATTTTTTGAGGAAAAAAAAAAAAGTAATAAAACTCGTGCCCCGGAAAACGGGTAAAGATAAAATAATAATAAAAAGTTTTATATTCTCAACAAAGCGAGTAATGTATTGGTTTTACCGTGCGACGCGTTTTTTGTTTTTTTTTTTTTTTTTTAAACAATTATTCTACCGGAAATTTTGCCTCCGATCGAAAACTTTCTTGTAGCATTTCCGGTCTTAATTGTACATTGGGGAGATTATTATTTTTATTTTCCCCATGGTAGTCTCGATAAACGGAATAACCGAGCAATTTTTTTTTTTTTTTTTTCGTAAAATTTATATAATGTTTTCTAGGGAAAATCGGCAACAACAGAAAACAATTCAACTGTAGCAATAACCGTACTCTGTTGAATATCGGTTTTCGTTTATCAACAACGTATACAGATGTAGATTATTATATTTGTTACTCTGTTTATCATCCGTTCCGATTAGCCGAATAAAAAACTGGCACGCCCGTATCGGCCTTTTCTTAAAATTATAGTTCTCTTATAATTCCCACGTGAATCATCTTCAGAGAGAAGTTAAGTTTCCGCATAATACAATAATACTATATAATTGCACAGTGTTCGCGAAAATATACTTGTTGTCCAAACGTCAGTTTCCGTTACACAATGTTATAATACATATATATATATATATATTTTTTTAAAAAACCAGATTTTTTTTTTCTCCCCCACACACAGTTTGATCGATGGCCAATAAACGTTACGTCGGGATTTTCCTACACCGCGCCGAATTCGTCAAATAAAGACAGAGTGGAAATATCTTCCATAAACTCCAGCGCGTAAATTACTTTTTCTTTTTTTTTTTTCCACAGAGCGTGTATCCTCGTGGTGCGAATTTCTATATAAAAATTATTATTTACAGAAAATGCATTTCTTTTTTCCCCTTTTGCTCCGCGCATACCGTATACACAGGTACCTACCGTATTACATTATAAGAATCCCGCTTTTATCTCTCACACCAGCCCCCTACCCTACCACCGGTTCTACCACCCGAATCCTTATATAAATTATTAAAATTCCTTTTTCGGCAAAACGACTTCTGGCACACACGTCGCGGACGGGAAACTGTTTTTTTTTTTTTTTCTTTCAATTCACGTTATATTGAAATAATTTCGATGAAAAAAAATGTACGCTCACGTAATACAAACGCATAGGTGTACATTAATATCATTATACGTATACATGTTCGTCGAGTTCAGCGCCTACATAATCAGTGTTGCATTTTAACATAATATCGGTAACCTTTAGTTTCGGATGAAATAAAAAATTTACATCATTTAGCCTTACATGCGGCTCTACGTTAAAAAGAGACGACAGCGTATATCGGGTTCGGTAAACTCTTACATAGATTTCAAAAAAGTCGCATACTTATTCGCTCAGTCGCTTGTTATTCCCGATAAATTTATAAATTACGTTTTAGAAAAAAATTATCCATATAAGATATTTATCAAGACGTTTCGATGATGTCTCTCGGATGACTATAATATTATTTCTCATTTATCTAAATAGAAAAAGCGATAAAAATATACCTGTATAAATACTATCCTATCATATGATGAAGTACGGAGTAATTTTAAAATGTAAAATATTTGTAGATTACGTTTAAAGTGTTTTTAGTTAGTAGAAGTTATTATTTTTTCATAATTTTGTTTTTTATATAAATTAATATTTAAAACGTGCACATTTTTGGACGATGAATATTCTTGTACTGTATATTTCATTGTTTTTTGCCGGTCTTGACATTTTTGAGTAGTTACTATTTTTTTTTTTTTTTTTTTTCGCATTCGAAATAACTTTACAGAATTCATAAAATGCACTAAATTCTTTTCTACGTACGTCTTAACGTGGAGTTATGGCAACGAATTTAATAATTTTAATACAGATTACTACGCAAATTCGCAATGAAACTACAAGGAATTCGTAGAAACTTGTTTAAGAAATAACGCAGTAACTACATGGACTTCCTGTTTTTATATTTAGTAGCCGCTGCATTATTATTATTGTTTTTGTTTATTATTTTCCCCGAATCATAAAATATCTATAGAGTCACTACATAGCGAAATCGATTTTCTAGGCGTTTCGGCGATTCGCACTATTGTTGTACAGCACAAAGTTCAGACGAATCGTGCAACAGATATTGTATAATACAGTTACTGGTAGGTCGATTGATATTAGTAGTGTGAAATAATAAAAAAATAATAATAAACTCTCTGGTTTGTATTAGGGAATTAGGGCAGTTTGTAAAATCATAAACGGGGAGAGGTGCAAAGAGCGAGAAGGGAGTCCGGAGTCCGAACGGAGATGCCGTTCGTCCAATGGGTTTTTCTGTACAGTATATTACACGTCATTTGTCTTTGGTGTTTATCATCGCGTGTTGTGTATTTCCTTCGAACTGAGCGTACGAACCTATATGTTTTATCTTGGTAAAAAAAAAAAAAAACCCCGCGGAACTGTACAATTAATAGTACAAGAGCATAAACATCGGCTTAATTTTTTCTAAATTCGGAGTCTCTGCGCTTTCCCGCATCGGGGCTGTGTAGACGATCGCGAGAAAACGCAACACTAAACCGCGATTGTTTTGCGTTTTCCGCAGTTGTGACGGCAATGCGATTGAAGCGACTGAAGCGCACGTCCATCGAAATATTATTGTAATCTGATCGTTAGATTTTTCGAAAAATTCTGCGGTCACCGATCTTTGATTCTACGTACAATCATACACATATATGCGCGCGCGTACAAATAATAAATAGTATACCTACACACACACACACACACACACACACACACACACACACACACGCGCGCGCGTATATATACGCAAGCACGGACATAATAAATATTATTTCTACATACGCGCAGACAGAGACATAGTTGCGTTTAATTTGTTTTAATTTTCAATTAAACATTTTCGGGAAACTTAACGCGAACCGACTGAAATTGATTTAATTTTTGCGGGCTTGAAATTTTCTGACCTAAATCTCGTTTCGGTATTGTTGTTGTTGTTGTTGTTGTTTTTGTTGCTGTTGTTGTTGTTGTTGTTGTTGTTGTTGTACAGTTTATACACTGTACAGGTTCTTCCAATTAAAACTTTAGACGTTAATTTTAAATAAATGACATCGAGAAATTTTGCATTCAGTAGGCAGGCAGGTAGGTAGGTAGGTAGGTACATCCGAATAGGTTTAACGCGGTTACGGCGACGGCGAGGAGAACGCGCAAAATGGGAAAAGTAAATTCAATTATTACGTTTCGCGCGGCAAAAAAAAAAAAAAAAAAAAAAAAACTACATAATAATGTACGGAATCCACGAGTAATTTGAATTTCATCGCGCGTGGACGTCAGGTAGTCATTATGTATATTTATATTAATTATGTTCGCACACGTTCGCCGTTGCAATTATCGCTCATTCAGGATAATAATAAAATAATAACACGGCGTGGCGAACGAAATATTTCGTATAATGCACGGTGCCGCATACAGGTGAGCGTGTTTTTTTTACGTGTTAAATTACTCGGTGTCGAATCCGGAAAATTTTGTCCCGGGCAGGGACGATACTCGTCGGTGATTTCGACGTAAAATGTAACGAGTACCTACCGAAAGCGTTGTACGTTTCAATGAAAATACGGTTTTGTCGACATCGGTTGCATTTGTTAAGGGGTTAGAGGGGAGTGAAAAAAAGGCCAGCATTCGCCTCTCCCCGTATCCAAATACGGATTTTCCAAAATATTCGTCGTTTCCGACTGATAGATTTCCGTCATTTTTTCTAAATGACATTTCTACATTTGTTTCAATAGAAGAGTGTGCCGGGGATAAGGGGTTTTGATTGTATTTGAAAATTTAGGAAAAGTTTTGCGAGTCGACTTACAATCATTTGTCTTGGTGTCTAAATATTTCAGCGTCCGACGAAACCCTTCAAAATATCCGTCGTTTAGTTGTATTTTCCTAAATGTTAGTTAAACAATGCCGTAAAAATTTACAGTAAATACACTGAAAAAACATAAAACTTACTTAAATCCAATAAAAATAGCTAAAAAGAAAATTAAAATACTACTTCAAATTTTATACTTAAACTGCGATTCATGAAGCAAATTTGTAATTTGTTATATATTTTTGCTGTGTGTTGAAAAGTATAATAAAAAAAAAACATGAAAATGCTAGAAATTCCAATAACAATACTTCTACAGTGTGTGGGATACATCACGTTTATTTTTGCGATCTCGTGCCTCGCCCATCAAATCTGGCATTTTTACGTTTTTCCAGACGAGATTTTTTTTTTGTCGTTTTTCTCACCCTACAGCACGGACGGTTATCCATTATTTATTCTTTAAATTGTTCGCTATTATTTTCTGCGGGTTTTCGAGATTACCGTATTGTTTTTCCGATGCGGCCAAATGAAATCATCTCGATAGATCGCCGGCCATTTCTTCATCTCACACAGTTATTAACGGACTTTTTAATTTAAATTTTTTCTCTATTTTTGTAAAATTTTCCCTGAAAATAGAAACTTTCACATCTTTTTCTACTATAAAAATATCCCTGGCTCGGTTTTTTGGGTAATTTTAACGGGTCTTTTAACTCGAACAATTTAGTTCGAATTCGGTAATCAGTGTTGTTTTACAAGTGGTTTAAACAATATTTCAGTTGAATTTCACCATTGAAATTTCATATCGGAACTTGGGACACTTTTCGATGGTTAGATAAAAAAAATTAATATTTTTCAAAAAATATATGAGTATGAAATGTATGAGTTATAACAAGGTTAACAATTTAGATCAGAGGAATGGAGAATGGTAGTAAATTCATATCCATTTTTAGATGATTGCGTGGGTTTCTAAATTTTAAACAGTTCCAACTCGCATGTATAGTAAATTCAGTATTTCACATGTAACAGTCAGCACGTTTTAATGAAATATTCTCTTTACAAAATCAAACTGTCGTAAAATATTACTCAAACACCCTACTAGTGGCTCATATTTTGATGTGAAAATGCTGAAAGTAATATGTGTGTACCAATAAAGGATAATATTGTAATTAGTTTTATTATACAGTTCAAAATGTCATACTTCGAGAACGAATTGGCCAAAAAGTTCTCTAATATTTTTCGTCATAATAAAATATTTTACAGAAGCCGTACGTTAAATAAGTTTTGTTGGATGACAACGTCATCGTCAAGGCACAGCGCCCTTCTAACACGTGCTGTATGCGCCGCTTTAAATATTGCTTTTCGAAATATTATGAAAACCGCGAAAGGTTGGCTAAGTGTATCGATATACGGATTCTAGTCCAAACTATAAATTCGTTCCATAAAAAAAAAAAAAAAAGGCCTGTGTATCCCGAATTAAATCGTTACGTTTCACGCAGGTTTGAATTCGTATGGCGACGATCAAAAAGTGAAGCAAAAAAAGTAAATGATTACGTCGCTACCGAGGTAACACCGCCAGATAAATATCGATGCCATTTGACGTCGTTAATATAATATAATTTCGATTAATCGTTAGTAATCGTAAGGAATTACCAAAACGTAATTTTTGTTTTAAAATCTTAGCGGTTACTATGAATTATTTGTTGTTCTGTATGTCTGTAAAAAACTATTTTACCAAAAATCTTATTGCTCCAATTTTCGAGTGTAGTTTCTTTTCTGAAATCACATATTGTCTTGTCCGTTCATTGGAAGACTGTTTTTGATTACATTTGAATTTCGTTGAATACGGTTGAAATATCCACTCTATACTCGCTACTAGTCTTTTCTAGACTATGGTAACATTTTAAAAATATTCCGGCGATTGTTTAAAGGTATTTGACATTTTCAAGTTTTCATTTGGTTTTGAAATGCTTGAACGTTTGTTTTATTGTAAACGTGGAAAAAACGAAAGTATCGTTTTTTTAATAGGTTTTAAAACGATTTCATCATAATAGATAATATATAATGCATTATATAAAAACTATTATTTCAAGTTTAGACAGCTATACGATGCGAAGAACTCAAATAATTAAACAGGCGCAGTTCTCCGAGGAATTGCCGCCAAATTTGTCGAGACTCCTCGGGGAATCGGATACGATTGACGTGTCCATTGACACCGATGCGTCTCCAGTGCGGTACGGATCCATGAGAATATTACCATTGTACGTGTATGTGGCTATATAGCCGGGCTAGATTTTTTTTTTTTTTTTTAAATAATTTATATTATCCTGAAAAGGTGAGGTATTCCGGTGTAAACTTCGTTATTCTTAAAAAAAAATAAAAATAAAAATAAACTGTTTTCGACGTGATAAAATGCGAGTCACGCGTGACGGCCACCGCGGCGACCGGGACATTTTTTAATTAAAATCTAACGCAGACCGGCGTCAAAAAGCCAGAGTTCCAGTTGAAAAATAGAATTTCGTTTCCGCAGTTACTGCCATCGTCTCTTTGCGGCAGACGAAAGGTGTTGGTCACTTATACAATATAGAGCGACGCGCAAAATTTTCCGTTAGATCCGATGGCCGTTTTTCAATGATAGCGCCGAATCTCGAAAAAATTAGATTGGGACAATAAACAAAATCGATTATTACATTTTATCGGGATTAAAAGGAATATATATTAATCGGGTTTTCTCGGGATTAAAGAAATTAAAAAAAAAAAAAATGACCTTGATACCGCCAATCTGCAACACAGTCACCCGGGAAAGTGTACGCAAAGAAAAAATGATTGATACTCAAAAAGAAAACACCACGGAATATCTTTGGAATGAAAAAAAAATCAAAAAACAAGAACAAACCGTTAAGAAAAGAAGACCGCAAAGGGGCACGTCTCGCCCGGAGAAATTGAATACTTAGCTATGCATTTTATATGCATAAAACGACGGTGCTGGAACAGAAACCGACAGGGGAAATACCATTAAGGTAGTCCGAAATTAAACCGGAAATATTCGGTTTAGAAGGAAGCAGGAGATTTAGAAGGTTGACAGAACTGGACATTTATGGCGAACGAATAATAGTGCGTGGAAACGGTCGGATAAATGTACGCGACACGGCACGGTCCTGAAAACCGAATAAACCTCCGGCCCGGTTAAAATATTACGAGGCATACGACGTGATTTCAGATCCAAAACACGGTTGCCGATTTTAGATTCTTAGCGGAATCTCCTTTAGATTCCCCTTGAAATTTATTGGTTTTACACTGGTGTGGATTATTTTTCCAGAAGAAATTTAGCTCCAATTTTCGACTGTAGCACTTTTTTTCGAAGGTATATCTGACCGTAGTGGTACTTTTAAAGGATCATCTTTTGATTTTCCCGGGGGTTTTCAAAATAAACGGGGAAAACTCTGAGAGAAACGGGAAAAACGTAAGAAATGTATTATTTTCGAATGTCGCGTACAGATATGCATTACATTCGGCTCTACGTCCTACGTTTCCGACTTACCTCACGCCTACAACAACGACCCTAACGTCGTGCGAATTATGTCCGTCTTCTTTATCGTTCGTTTTCCGTCCGCGACGCGTCCCCGCTGTCCGAAACCGCGCCCGCCGAAACGTATCGCCGAAAAACATATTATGTTTCGGCCCGCGCATCCCCGGAATATCCCGTTTTCCCGTACAGTATCCCGATATTATTATTGATACCATAATGATATATATATGTATACCCATAGCGTTTGTATTATATTTTATCAGGTATCTAAGACGCCTACGCGAAAAACGTTATTACCCGGTTTTGTTATTACTACGCGCGGCGGCCCCGGACAACGCGGACCGTACGGATGGATTGTCGGACGAGGGGTGGTCGAATATCGGTATTTGGCCTTTTCGTATTATTTGTTTTATCACGTGCGTTTTCGGAACGAATCGAAACTTTGCGGACCCGCAAAACTTTCCGCCGGCGAAAATCCCGCCGCCGCCGCCGCGGATCGTCCTGAATTACGGGAAAAAACACGGCCACCGGCGTTTTTCGAGTTCCAAAGTTACTCGCCGTCGCCGTTATTAAAAATGAAAAATCGCCGAATGCCGGGAATAGGCCCGTCCACTCGGTATACGATTTATATATTATGCCGGTGCTCCAAATTATTGGTTAGTTATCGTAATTTATAGTTTACGACAAAATCATCGGAACGCGTGATATTTCGATACACCATATATACAATTATAGACACTCGTGGTGGGAAAAATTTCGTTTTATCTGATTTTGATTGTCTGAATTATCGGAGTCCGAAACAAACAAAAACATATAATCAGATTTTGGTATTTGTTGTCTAAACGTCACTAAAAAGGCGTGATTTTTTTTTTCATTCCGAATTATACTGACCCTATCCGCGTTCGAACTAAGCAAACCCAGTTGGTTTTAAGAGCAATGCCACACAGAATGGTTTACCAGCTCATTTATGATTAAAATCTGATACTGAGAAAATCTAATTTCCAAATTGTAAACCAATACTATATGTAACCCGAAAACCTAAAACCTAATATTCAGGTCCTGGTCTATGAATAACCACGATGTTTCGGGTATTTACCACCCGGGTCGAACTCGGGTGAGTTTTGGGTGCCTTTTACCTTTGCTCGACAGTCGGATTCCAAAAAATATTGTTACTGACTTCGCCAAAATCAAATATTCGTAAAAATCGCACGAGAAATGCTTTTAAGTATTCGTGTAACCACTAAGTGCGTATAGCACGTATAGAACGTATACAATTTTTTTTTCTTTCTATAAAATATTTTATTATTCAATATTCACTATATTTGTTTTAATAAATATCCTTAAGTTTGTTTATGACTTTTAGATTCTAAATAGAGCGGTGAAGTTTATGGTAATAGAAAGATTTGTGTTTATTTTTTTTTTTTTACTTGTTAACAACTTTTCTACCAAAATACTTTCGATTTTCGTGAGTTTTCTCATCACATTTGAAAAACTGAAAAAACTGGCAAATATAAGTAATGTAGATTTTTGTTAAAATATATTACTGCTTTCTTTTTTCCTGTGCACAACTTTCTACGAGAAATATTGCCCCGAAATTTAATGACAGCAATGTTTCTAAAAGGAAATTTCACTAGCGAGGTACTTCAAAGAGGTCATTTTTCGATTTTCCCAAAAGTTTTCCCACCAAATATGAAAAATCGGGATAAATCATGAGTAAACCTGGAAAAAGGTAGGGAACCTGGGAAAATAAGTATAACATAGAAAAAAATATTGTTTAAGAAAATATATAAAAACTATTTAACTATTTTACTATAAAACTCTGTTCAGAATCGTTTTTTCGTAAGCAATGGTTTATCGTTGCTTACAGATATGCATTAAACAATCTTTAACAGTGACTGCACTCATCACCATTATCCTAGGACGTCTTTTTTTTTTTTACATGTAATAATATTATGTACCTCGAATTGAATTTGTATTTTCGATATTTGATTACGGTTCAACTACGTATAATATGTAGATAAAAAATAGTAGAAGAATAAAAACAATACCGTCTCTCAGCTATTGTAGGGACCTCAAAGCTAAAACAAAAATTAAATAACAAAAACCACGTATTCCTTGGTGAAATGTATTTTATGTTATTATAAAAAAAAACAAAAAATTGAAATGTCAATAAAATTAATATTTAGATTAATAAAGATAAACGTAATTAATATGAATAACAATCAAAGCAAAAACAGTTGATAAAAGATAAATTATAATTTAATTATTTAAACATAACTTTCACATAAACTTTTAACAATTAATATAACGAATCATTTTCAATATATAGCTGCTTCCCGGCGCAGCTCTAAAAAAAAAAAAAAAACTAATTAAAAAACTCATCGACAGTAAATAACGTATAAAACCGAACAGTGTAATACATAATATAGTTTTACACGTTACTGTATTATTATAACTTCCAATTCTTGATACTATTATATTAGCGAATAGCGGACAGGAGAGGATATTATTTAACATTAAAAGTTTCTCCGAAAAAGAAAAACGGTTTTTTTTTTTTTATGCGAAGAGCACATAATTTTTAAATGAGACCTTATCTCGACGTTTCTTATCGTATTAAACCACTTCAAACGAGCGTATTGACTGCGCGGTCCTGAATCGCATTAATTTTGTATAGTCCCGTACCCGTCTGTATGCCCCTATTATATAATGTACGTCTGGCACTTTTTCGACCGGGCCGCAATAATAATTATTATCGCGATGCCGGTAATCGACTGCCGCCGGTGCGGTCCGCCTATCCGGAATCAGTCCTTTCGGGGCTAAAATCGAATGATTATGCGAAAAGAAAAAATTCGCTCCGAAAATACGTTAAACCGACTGCAGTTCTGTTTTCGGGCGGTCGAGTCGTTTATTCGCGGCACCCTATACGCAATTATCGCGATTATCGGACGCCATTGCGGGCGTAGTCGATTGACCGTGATCTTAAATGTTAAACCGCGTTACGGTAAAAGCGCAGTTCTCTCCGAATATATCAATGGGCACAAACGCGAATAACGAAAATTCGGATAATTAAATCGTAAAACAACATAAAACCTGAAACGCTATTATAGCGGTCCAAGTGCTTTTTGTTTTGCGCGCATTTTCAAAGGCTAAAAGACTCGATCCGCGGTCTTTCGAATATCGTAACTTATAACCTAACAATAACTAACCTATAACTTATATGCAACCGATATAAATGTTCTGGTAGTGAGATGTTTTGTTAGATTCGGGACGGGAATACTCATAGAAATCACACCGTTATGATATTATATTGCCACTATATTATTATCAGTGGCACCAAAACCAGCAGTCGAGAGTGGCGTACGTCAACTTTCTATAAATGGGTGGGCGGTGGTGGATCCTCGTTGGATACCAGTCAGATCGAGTCATATTTTTCATCGAATTAGTACGCATGAAATGTTAATTAATATTTTAATAATTTTGTTTTTGCATTATTATTTTGTTAATAATTAAGAGTGTAAGAGTAGGGGTTTGTTTCGCAAACGAGGGCGGTGGTCTATACAACTTTTTACCTGCCCGCCTTCTTAAAACACGGTTCGGCGCCATGTAATCATACACACGGCTGCAAAGCTGGGAAAGTTAACCCGTAATTTGTTAAACTAGTTTAAGTTTAACTAAAGAATAAAAATACCGTAAATAAGTTACACATTTTTGGAAAAATAATAACTTTATTTAAGTGAAAAGTTACCCTTTTTTTTAAAAAAAAAAATTAGGTTCTATTATTAGCTATACGCTCATAAACGTAATTTGTATTCTTATATAGTCAAACATGCGTGCATTACTATAAAAAACTAATGCATAGAGTTCTTTGCGAAAAATTATTTGTAAATTGCTTTTTACAAATAACTAAAATATTAACCAAAAAACTTTGTCGAGTTGACATCATTTACCATAAGATATAATTAAGTTTTTAATTAACAACTATTAAAATAACTCTTTTCTTACATTATATTTTTTAGTTTTTTTTTCTTTATATATATGCAAGCTAAAAAGTTAACAATACAAGTAACTAATTATAATTATTAACTTTCAACATTTCAATCTTGGGTATTGTCACCAGCTTTGAAGTCCCACTACAGTACCGTTTGGAAAATCAAAAACTACCTCCCCAAGCAGTGCAACGACTGGATCTAAAGTGCAACAAAAAAGTTACCGGTTATTTTTATTTCTATCTGAACAAAATTGTCAGCACGGGAGTCGTTCACAGACGAATTAAATCTGTCCTGCGGTACGTTTAGAATCTAAAATATGCAGCGTCAATAAGACCGCGACGCGCATTTCGTTAATGCGGGATGCGGGGAAACGTAGTCGAAAGGAGTCAAATACGAGCGTTTGAAACGCGTGCCCTGTCAACCGGACTCAAACCGGCTCGACAAACGAAAATCAATTGACGCCGCAACCATCGTGCCACCGGTCCGGAATTTCCGGTCGAAAAAAATTGCAACACCCTCGGACCCCGGACCTGACCCGTCCGCTTTCGGCAAGATATCGCCACGGTCACCGTTGTCTCGCGGATGTCGGTGAAAATATCACTTCCGGTCCATTATTGCGGTGTTTGCGTAATATACATTTATACGTGTATTGTGTTATAAAGTACGATTAATATTTTCACTCCTGGGCCTATATTACGACGACGATGATAATAATAGTAATAACACGGCGCGCGTGACCGTCATAAATTTTCCGCGCCCGGAAAAACGGAAATTCCGTCATCGTCCATTTAAATGGTATTCCGATATTTTCTACTTTGTGTCATTCCCCCGCCTCTGCTGAGTATATGGTTATAACCTATCGAAAGAAACGAGGAAAATAATAGTTTTTGTTCACGTTCACGGGTTGTCTCACTTGAGAACAAAAACGCTCGTGAGCAGCAGAGTTCTATCATTAGATTCGAATTTTTCCCCGCCTATTTGCTACAATAGAAACTGTATTATTTGCGAAAACAATAAACCCGACAAATCTAATGTAAGACGATAAATTGTCTATGTAATCCAATTATACTACTTTAAAAATAAAAAAAAACTGTTGACATTTGTTCATACACATGAATGCGGTAGTTGTTGAGTGATTAAGTCTGCGAAAAGCGCACCCATAATGATACTTATTCTACACGGATTAATCGTTGCGCAGGCTTCATTTGGTGATGCTGTGGGGAGTGTATAAAGCCGTGAAAAACACCCCCCGCCCGCGAAAACATGTTGATATTTGTAGTGAAATTTAACCCAAATTCCATTACTTTAATTCATCTACATTGCGACCTACATTCATGAACTCATTCGGTCCGGACGGAGTCCATAGAAATTTCTGTAAAATTAACGGGAAATGGGTGAGAAGTTGGGAAGATAGTAAAAGAGAAATAAAATCTATACCCGTAACGAAAAAATGATTCTAAACGGAGGTCGGTTGAAAATGTTGCTTTGTCAACAATATATATTATGGTAAAATAATGATATATACGTAAACTATACAATTCCTTCAATAATATTTGTTTAATATTGTACCTATTTTCCCATTTATTGAGAAAACCAAAAAAAAAAAATGTCTCGTGAATCCGATTAGATTTCTATTCGGAAAAAATGGTACACTTAAAAATCGGAGCAAGATTTCTGGCGGAAATTTGTCCGCAGAAAAAGAAAAATCAATCAATTGTCAACCAATACGTTCCTCGGTCCATTCAGAATCTAAAATGGTACATGCACATTACAGTAATTCGATAGAGTGCAATTTTTGGGAAAATTCGACAAAATTCTACTGGCCGAACATATCCAATGGCGATTGATACAATGCGCACATTAATATGTAAGTGTGCATACACGGTTCGGGAACAACGTGTTCGTTTCGCGTAACAATATTATTTAACGTCATTCAAGTCCCCGGCCTGTCCGTGAAATATTAAAATGTTTTACACGATAAAACGGCGAACACGCGCGTGACATGCGGCTATTTGTTTTCCTACGTGCACGCGTTGGATTTCGAACTTAAACTACAATATTTTTCTACAGAATAAAAACCGTTTTTCTATATTATATATAGCTATAAATAATCGAGTGCAACACTTAGCGATATTAAAGTGCCGCAGGGTCGGGCGGTGATGACGGCAGGAGGGAAGGAAGAGTGGCGGTGAAAAAAAAAACAGAAAACAGAACAAAATTCTATTATTATTAAAGCGAAACGTAACGTCTCGGTTATACATTTGCCGAACAAAAAGCGACGTGACGGTCGCACGTCGTACACGTCTATTTCGAAAATCAGTAAGTTATTAATAAAGAATTTTCGAAATAGCCCACAAACGACGAAAAACCGACGCGGAGCTATGGGTTTATAGTCGATATAAAATCTCAACTGCTCCAAAGCGCAAGCACCCCGGCACATGGAGACGTATTTTATAAAAAAAACTACGCGATCTACGTGTACAGAACTGTAACCAAAGAGTGCATAATCAAAGCTCCGTAATACATCATTAATAGGACAAGTTCGGAATGCTTATTTTTCCACATTGCGATTTTGAAAAACTAACTTGTCCGGTTGCTACGCCGGGCGTATTCGATTTCAATGTTATAAATACTATCGACAAGTTCGTAGACGGTTTTTACAAGTTTCGTACACTGATCTGGCTGGTTTTGAAAAACAAATTCTCCAGTATATTTTATGTGGTTTTGAAACAGTGACTGACATTCGCGATCGCCGACGGAATTATATTTTCACCGTACGTAGGCTATAAACTATTATTTCCACCCCCTAATAATTAAGAAAATTATTTTTTATTTATTCGGAGATGGAGGGGAAAGAAAACGACAAATTACCGTAATTATGTTAATTGTTATTTATCGATGCATGGAAAAATTTAAAAATATCAACAGCGAAATATATTGATTAAACTCAGACTCCGTCCGTATACGTGGGATTATTATTAATAAATATGTTGCTACTGGACAATCGACAATCGGCTAATGGTTTCGGTCCCGAAAAATACGGGTGACAAACGATAACGGCAGTAGTAGAACGTTTTCAGAGCCGCTCGTCTCTGGAACTGTCCAGGAAAAAAGTTCCGAAAAAATGTAATATTTCCGGAGATAATGAACGTCTTATCGAGGATTGATCATCACCCTGTACAATACGAGTATGATGGATAATATACTGCGGAGTAAACGTCGGATTAGAAATTCCGGTCGCGGACACCGTCGACCCGGAGAGTTTGGTGAATCGCGAACCTCGAGGATCGTTACCGCCCCGCCATGTGTGCGTGTGTGTGTGTGTGTGTGTGTGTGTGCGTGTGTGCGTGTGTGCGTGTGTGTGTGTGGACGGGATCCCGGGGGACATACTGGAAAACGGCCCGAAATTCGGAGGTACTAACGATTAGTAGTCCGACAGTGTATATTGTGTACAGGGTGTGCGCCGATTGGCGGAAAACACATACAGGCCCTAAGCATTATCTGTTTATCGTAGTCGCCGCCACCGCCGCCGACGAGTCCGACTTATTGTTCCCGCCACGAGCGTCTATACTCCATACCCGTAGTATACGGTCGGGAGCAATTCCTCTTATCATATATACTGTTATTATTACGCGTTTGCGCGGGTCCGCGAGCGAATCACTTATCAATATTTTATTTAGATCCTGAACGTTGCCAGGGATCTGTTGGTTTTTTATTTATACGGTTTGTACATTTTTTTTTTTTTTTGTTTTGAACAGCTTTTTGACCTTATTCCGATCGGAAATCGAAGAAAGATTTTTTTTTTTTTCGTTGCATTTTAGTCGGCGCATTAAATAGTAAATCGTTTTACTGCGTAGTTTTCTTAATGGTTGCGCGAAACCGGGGAATAGAGGAAAGCTAACTGACGTATAACGATTTAATCACATTCGGAGAGTCTTATATTCGCTTTATCTAGACGTGGTGAAATGTTTAAAATGGTCCGAAAATATTTTTGAACTATTTACTAATCTGCGGATAAAATCGTTAGACTAAATAAAATTGCTTGACAATTTGACAGAAAGTTCATTACACAGACGCTTACTTAGTGGTAAAAAAATAGTGTAATGGAGTTTTTTTTTTTTATAATAATTTTAAAATCAAATTTTGACGAAAATCGTAAATATTACGGCTTTTCAAAAAATGTGTAATTGAACTTGGCTCAGAACCGTTTTTCGTTAGCAATGATTTTTCGTTGCTCTTTTAGATCACACTCTGAATTTGTGCACGGATTTCAGCGCAAAAGGATATATTTTCTTTTTTTTGGGAGGGGGGGACTTAGACATTTATACGGTGATACAGACGTATCGTCCGATTCGCGTAACAGACACTTCAAATTTGAAACGTTTAATTTGCATTCAGCTGTACAATAATATTGTTATTATCGTTTTGAATATACGCTCGAAATTGCGAATACCCCACGTCTGCCGACACGTCATCGGCAGTTCGCTATCCGAGGCAGGTATTTTTAAATTTCTAGACGCATACTTCCCGATTGGACGCATTATATGTACGTACACGATTGCGACGATGAGCGGTTTACCGCGGCCGTGCCGAACAATTCCAATATACCGGCCCGGAACACGCGACGACATCGATAAAAAAAATCGTTCTTTCATCTCGAATTTCATTTGTCCGCCGTAATATTTCTAGAATGTCATCATTATCTAAACGCTGTATTTATACACGCGGCTACGTATATGTGCTATACGAGACTTACGGGCTTCTTCGAAATCCCCTCGTTTCCCTTCTCGTATATCTATACAGGTACTTGTACTTATTTTCTCAATTCAATTGTTTTACTAAAACCGTCCGCGCTCTGTGCTTTTTTCTCCTCTTTGATCTCTTTCTCCGCGCAATATTAACTATAATTCTATTACACTACTATTATTGCCGTCCGGTTTTACAATATCATCTAACTTTAACTAAATCGTCTCGGTGTTTAATAATTTCATTATATTTTATTCTTTCGTCGATCCCCCGTGACATAACAATACCGTTCGGGGCGATTTCATTTTCGCGATCCAATCATTTTCGTTCAACCGGACGTTCGTCGTATGACCTAGATTTTAGAATTTTGAAATTTCCGCCGCGACACCTCGTATCCTGAACGGCAGCCTCTCCCTCCCCCCGTGTTCAACACGGGTTCGAAGTAAAAATATTTTTCTAAACAAATATCGACACTCTGACACTTGCGTGGCAATATAGTCGAAACGGTGTTTCGAATTCAAACCGGATGGGGAAGAGCGTTGACGAATCGCTCAAACACGCTTTTACGCGAATATTATGTTTAGACGATAAGAACGACCGCACCCCGCAACCGCAATCTAATATTTAAACGGTCGTTATAGTTTTTAAGTATACCCACGACATAATACCAGGACGAATCCGATAGCGTGTAGGACATCGATATTTTTTCGGATCTGCATTACCGACCGCGTTGGCCGCCGTTTTATTGCAATAGTGTCCACGTGGCGGATCGTTTTAGGAAAAAACACCGTTGTCCGCGCTCGTCGAAACATCATTTCGGGCGCGTACGAGCATATTGCGGGCGAACGGGAAAAAACGGACGGAGCGTCGGACCGAACGCGCGCTTAACAAAACGTCCGTTGTCCCCGCCGTCGGCCCACCCGTCGCCGCCGTGGCGACGACGTTTGATCGTTTAACAACAATTGTCGTTAATATTTCGAACGGGCCGCGCTTTCGCGGCAATAACTGGCGACAAAAAAAAAACACGTCCTGCATCACGGCGAAATATTTTACTACGCGTATCGCTTGTATCACGAACAAAACGTTTCACGTTTTACAGCGTCGCGCACCCCCCCTCCCCCACTCCGTACCGCTTTCACGTCGCGTACGCCGCCGTCGCATTAAATCGCAATTAATCACGTCGCGAAAACCGGCTGCCGGAGATTAGTATCAAGACGAGTTTCGAGGGGTGCCCGCGCCGTCACGGGGTCGGGCGTCGCCGTACGCGCGTACGGCGAATACGGCCGCGTGCGGATTTTACACCGCGCCCGATTCGCCGACGTTCCTATGCCGGTGCACGCGCGCGTGTGCACACAGTCGATCGGGTCGGGCGTGCGACGTCGTTACGCGCGCTCTCGTGCGCGCCGGCTACGAGCGTCTTGTTTTATCCGCGCGCCCGCGACGGTATCGCCGCCGTCGTCGGAACGCCGCGCGCCGCGAAGCCGAACCGATCGGTCTGCCCGGCGCGTTTGTAACGCGCGCCGCGGGACCACCGCGAGACACGTTTCCGTAATTCCGCGGGCCGCCGGCCGGTCCGGGGCCCGAACCGTACCGGGGAATGCGGTGGTCGGCGCGGAGAAGAGGTCCGCGATGACGGTTCGCGTCGGGGCGCGCCGGCTAGGGGACGGGGCGGTGGTCACCTAGCCGGCCGTGAAAACGGCCGTGTCCGCGTCGGGTCCCGACGAATTTTAGGGGCCGTGCGCCGTAGTTGGCTCCGGACGTTTTACAAGCCAAAAAAAAAAAAACAATTTTCCTTTTTCGATTTCGCACACTTAGTGGGTGTCAGTGATTGGTAGTTTGAAATAAAACACGGGCGGTGGCGGCGTGAACTTTTTTTTTTTATTTTGTGAGGCACACCGCACAGATGTTAGACGGTTGACCGTCACCGCCACCTGAGCGTTAGGACGGAGCCCTCACGCGCCTCCGCCTTACGCGTTCACGAATTTTCGCATGCCACAAATATACGCTTTAAGTGACCGGTGTTTTATTTCTTACGAATATCGAAAATCAATACAATCGGGCGATTCGTATAATTTATTTATACGTTAGACACTATTTTCTATTGCGCTGTCCGTTAATACGAGAGAACACTGGACCGAAATGCCGAGCCACGCGACGTTTAATCGACAAGGTTTTGGAGACTGCGGGATTTTTTTTTTAAAAATCATTCTATACAATTAAAAAACCATCGACTTTATTATATATTTTGCGTAAAAACTGCGGTCTATTTATACGTTTGCTGGTTTCCTTAACACTGAATGTCCAACGCATGCATACTGTATGGAATTAGTGAAATATAATCAATTAACTTAATATGAATATATGTTTAATTTATATTCATAACAACAAAGCATTTATCATAAAGTTTCGGTTGGCGAAATTTCATATTTATAGCCCGGATTCACCACTTACCGACCGGTCATGAGGCCGTCGCCTCATGAAATACCCGATCGCGCCGCCGCTGAACGCAGGCGTGATTAAAAAGAAAATTTTGTTTCGCCGGATGAACCGATATGTTGGAAAACATTCAGTAGTGGCCTCCGGTCGTTCACGCGTGAGATAATTCTTAAAACGTCCATTCGATTGCAGTTTGTAAAACGGTTCGCTTTCGGTTTTCGTTTTCAATTTGAGTTCGTTACGGCTCGTTTTGAAGGTTCGTATCGGGCGCAACATTCGGTCGCTATAAATACGGTCAGTGCGTGTCAGTGAGTCGACCGAAATTCACCGTCACTGTAATGGCTGCACGTTTATACCGGTCGACGTGATTCAAAATAATATGAACGTTTGGACGGGAAAAGACGGGAAATAATACAAATTTTCGATTTAAAAATCGTGCCGATTTCGGAGAAAAAAGGGCTACGTCACCGTGTACGAGTCCGACTTCAACTGCGAATCCGGCCCGCCGCCCGGTAGATTTCACTGACGAACACCTCTCCACCGAGTTATTAAGTCGGTACGATAGATTCGCCGGCCGTTTTCGAATACTACAAAAGATACTCGCGTGTGTATGTTTGTGAAAAAAAAAATAGAGCCTTTTTTGTTCAACTCTTATTGGATGGTGTTTTTTTTTTTTTTGTTTCGTTAAACTAAAAGCCGTGTTTAGATTTTCTTTTGTGCGCTCGTCTACTACGAAACTCGGTCGGTATCAAAAATATGACCGCGTTTATCGGGGGAAAAAAAAAAACCATGTATAATGTATTAAATATATGTAAATTGTACGTATAATAAGTAATAGTTATATACATCCCGAACACATATGAATTTTTATTTTTTCAAAAAAGACTTTTGATACGCGTTTTTTTTTTTTGTTTTCGCTTTCGGAGAAAAGGTCCGAGACACGCCTTAAAAAACTTTTCGGCGGACAAACGGAAAAAGCTCACTTATTATGTATACGACGAGGTAGGTATAAAACGGTGTAAAACGCACGGGATTCCATTCCATTACAATACGCGTCCGTTTCAATGAAAAACGTCAAACGTCGCGACGAATAGGCCTATAGACTATGCGATATTATTTTAATGACGTAGAAAACAAAGCAAAATAATAAAAAGACGACGGTCGTCATCAAATTCAAACGTCGTCCCTACGCGTTTGCGAGCGCGGTGTTTTTGTTTTGCGCCGTCGTCGGTACACGCGTTTCGAGTCGCCGAGGAAAAACGACGTTGTTCGCGAAGTGTTGCACGTTACGGCTGTACGGTTTTTAATTATTATTATGATGGTTTTTTTTTTTTTTTAACCGTAGATATTACGCGATATTCATACCTGACAATACCCGTACAATGATGATAAACTGCACGCGCGTATACTACTCACGACTCGAGTACGGTTTTAGTGCGCGCATTATTTAACGTACAAAACGGCGAATAAAACATCACGTCGCGTCTCTGGGTCGTGAAACTGCGACGCCATTCAATTCAGTACATCCGTTTACCGCAGTGGCGTGTTTTTTTTTTTTTTTTTTTTTCAACGCAGGGAAACATCGAATTCGGAAGACCGTGTCGTATTGCAGACCCGGGACGAAAAACAAAAAATACGTACATTTTCATATTTCCGGGAGTATATAGTTAACAATAATCGATCTACCCTAAAATTAAAAATTTAAAAAAAATGAACCACACGTATACGGACATTGAAATTGGTTTTATTGCTATTTATTCCTTCATTGCATAAGTGTACAACTCTTGTCAGCCGGAAGCAGGGAAGGTAATATACACACACACATATATATATAGAATCACATAATTTATAACTTTATCGACGATAAATCGTTGCTAACGAAATTCTGAACGGAGTACAGTTGAATATGATATCCGCTATTGCGATTATTACGACTGACGTCAGTATTCGAACTTAAAAAATTTGTACAAATATTTACTGTGTAACGCTCTACATTTTTTTTTAAACACCGAGTTCAACTTGCGTTATATGACGAGTCACGCATTCAATTTTAAAGCATTTTTGTTCGGCTACACAATTTTATCCACATTAAACCAATGACATTTTAACGCGACTAATAAATGCCAATACTAGTATTCTCTGAAAATTTAAAATAATATTTTTAACCGTACAAAATAAAATCGAAATTATTGAAACAGTTATTTCCCTAAATTTTCCCGGGTTTTTTTACACGTTACCCTGTTTTCCTTGTAATCGAGACAACTATAAAAATATATCTAAAGCACTACAAATAAATGTCGTTTTTGAGATGTGTTTTGACATTTTTTGATTGAGCCAGGTTTCTAGTAGAAAATTTGTTCATAGAAACATAAAGTTGAGAAACATAATGAGTGTAGCAAAGAATGGATTGGTTTTACTAAGATGTTTATTTTTTTTTATCCTATATACAAAAATTCGTTTATAAATCTCGCTCAGATATATACGCTCGGCACCATCACTGAAAATGAACGGTACTTAGTTTAATGTAGTATTTGGTTTTACAATGGAATTTTGATACTACATTTTGACGAATATTGTTTGAGTACAAAATTATGTGAAACAAATTAAATTTTTCAATTTTTTTTTTTTTTTTGAACAATTTATGTTTGTTACCAATTTCAGAAGTATGGTAAAGTCAGAATTGAGCGGACTGAAAAAGTTTCTAAATTATAGCTTTTTTAATATCAGATATTATGCAAACATTACATGTTTATGTCAAATACCTCTATATTGTCACTTTATTGTACGTAACCATAATATGACTTAAATATTGTTGACAAAGCATCAACTTAACTATCAACTGAACTGCGCTCAGAATCGATTTTTAATCAGCAATGGTTTATCGTAGCATACAGATATACATTAAATAAATTACTTATAACGGTGGTTGAACCCGTTCCCATTATCATAGGACGTTTATGTTTATGTAGATATCAAATAAAGTGAAAAAAAAGTATATTAATTTAATTATTGGCTACACCCACTATCTTACCTACATTAATATTTCTTATGATTATCGAATACATATGCTTTATTTTCAATTAGTTGCTATAGACACTTAAAATCTGAATTATTATCGTTGTCTGTTTTTTTTTTTTTTTTTTAACTAGTGAAAATTTAAATGCTTTTCTACTAATAGAAGAATTTAATTTTTTATTGGCTTGAGTTGCGAGTATTTTTTTTTTTTTTTAAAAATGTATGAAAACCCATCATATAGTGTTGATTCACAAAAAGAATTATCCTTATTGTTAGGTGATACGCTCGACGATTCTGATGAATCAACAGCACGTTTAAAAATACAGGAATTTCTGCGAGCATTCTTAAGGGAAGTTCCTGAAGGATTAATGCAATTATATTTAATTAACGAAGAACAGGAAAAATTGATATGCGAATTACAATTCATTATCGATAAAAACAGTTATTTAAATGTGGGACTTCAAGAGATATTTCAGAAAATATTATTGAGATCCATACTCGATTTGCCGGAACCGAACTATTTAACCGCAATGTGTGCCAACATGAATATTCAGGATGATTTTAATTTCGAAGAATATGCGTTTATGGTTCCGATATTTGAGGCATTTAGTTTAACATTTTCCAAAGAATTGTACAACGTTTTAGTTAAAAATGTGTGCGACAACTATCCAAAATGGCTTGAAGACAATGAACCCACATTGTCTAAAGACGAATTTTATAAGTATGTGATTAATTATAATAAATTATACTACGACGGATTTAATATAACTATTATTAAACTTTCGTTCGATATTCTAGGCACGCACTTGCGTTTGAAAATGTAAAAGAAATCAGAGATTATTTCGAAAATCGAAAAGACACTGATGTTGAAATCGATAAAAGAATTGAGCGTGTTAAACTCATGAATTTGCTTATTGATATGAGTATGTGTCACATTCAAATCCCTGACCATCTATACTACACCAAAATAAAGACAAACCAATCAAACGATGTATTAGTATTGACAAGAAATATGCTCAGCGATTCTGTTGAAACGACAGACCATATTGAAAACCTTGTATTTTTACACGACTTTTTAGAATTGGGGCGTGAAAAACTCCGGATAAAACTCAATCATTTATTTACTTGTGACATTAACCCACTGCCAAATGCACTAAATAATAGTAGCGTTGTTGAAAATGAATTATCAGAATTGTCAGATGATCGGTTCAACAATACTGACGAGCCAATAGAACAATTAAAAACGCAAGAGCTTTTGCGGGAGTTTATAAGTGAATTTTCGGAAGAAGCAATGAAATCGTATTTAAATAGTGACGAAAAGAAGGAAATAATTGGCGTAATTCAGCTATTTTTTAAAAATTCCAGTGATTTGAATCCAGGTCTTCAAGATATTTTTAAAAATATATTGTTCGAATACACCGATATACTCGAATTAGCCGATCCAAATAATGCAAATTCAACGTGTGCCGAAATCGTCGATGGGTACGATTTAAACTTCAACAAATATGTGTTCAATCTGCCAATATTTGGCAAATTTAGTTTACCGTTTGCCAAGGAATTATACGATTCACTTATTAAAAATGTGTGCGACAACTATTTAAAATGTCTCAAAGATGAAACCAATTTCTCTAAAGATGAAATGCATACGTACGTTATTAATTATGATCAATTATACTATGAAAAATTAATTGTATCTACTATTAAACTTTTATTCAAAATTCCAGACATGCACTTGCGTTTCAAAATATATATAAAATCAGAGATTATTTTGAAAATCAACTAGATATTGATAATGAAACCGATAAAAAAAGGAAAATTGAAAAACTCAAGATTTTTTTCTTTGTATTTTATTTAATTATTAACGAAATCATATCCCTGCTGAAATAATATTTATTAAGATTAACAAGATTCCGGTGTTATAGTGTAACAATAATAAAACGTTATCGATTCGTACAACTTAATGCATAACTAATAATAGTAAAAACGTTAGGACAAACTCTCGACATTCGATCGCCTATATTATAGAGTAATTTAAATAAGAATATCTAAATTATTTGTTTCTCATTTTTTTTTTTTTTTTTTAGTAGGTTACCATATTTTTAGTAAAATTTTAGGACTACTGTTTTTTGAATTTTCCAAAGAAACTCGAAAAATGTCGATACATTCCGAGTTAACGATGATCCTTATCGAGGATTGATCGTACACGACGTATTAGTAACGTAAATTGCGGGTAGACAATTGAAATTTCAAAATTTACACCACCCGAGTTCACGACCGTAATACGGTCGTGCAAAATCATAAAACACTACCACGAATGACGACCAGACGAAAAAAATTAAAAACGTTATTATATTGTTTAGCGTCTCTATAAAAAAAAAAAAAAAAAATCTCTTATATGATTTACTGCGATGTGTGTATAATAATATAGTACCTATATTGTGCGACGAACGTGTGCGCGAGAGGGTCTAATTGTGTTCTTGTTCGGAGATACCGATTCAAGCGGACGGTACCGACACTATATTATAATAAATACGATATAAAATACAAAAATTAAAAATAAAAGAAAAACACGCCGGACGGGACTGAAACGTACTATGGAAAATAATTTATATTAATAACAAATTTAATCTAATCGGGTTTAAACCTAGACACTGTAACACACGTCAAAAAACCAACTTAGAAGTACCTACTGTTCGTATATCGAAATCTAGTCGACGTTTTTCGCAAGTGGGTTTGAGATTATTAAACGACATTCCACTGCAAATCATTAACAGTTCGTCTTATAAAATATATAAACAATCTATTAAATTACGGTTGTTCAATAACACTAGTGATCTATACCCTTGGTAATATACCAGTGTGCCTGTATAATGTAGTCTCTTTATCTCTTTATCTATTTATTTATCTATTCGATTTTTTATGTACTCTATTATATTAAATTTATTTATTGCAATTCATACTTTAGTGACTATAGTTCTAATTAATACTTAGTTCTCTATGTATGATAAATTTATGTTTTTGAAGTATAGTTTATTAGTATAATTTTTAAATGTATGCAAACTTAGCTCTTAATAGTACTCCATCGACACCGATAAGAGGTTATCCTCAGTGGCGAGATGGGCCATCTAACCATGTTATGTATATACAATCATTAATTAATGAAAAATTTTACTTTCTTTTTGGCCAATAAATTATTATTATTATTAATTTACGGCGACCGCAACAACAGATATCCACGGACGGCCGCGAACGCGTCCGTGGTGATAGGCCCGGCGTGGAGCATTTTTTTTTTTCGACTCCCGCTATACGATTGACAGACCCTTCGTGTCGGGCGTGACTTGTTCGTTTCGGGATTCGAATACCGGACGGACGCAATCGAGACCCGGCGAGGGAACCGAGAAATCGACAGCACTGCGTACGCGACTATTCGATTACAATGGCGATCGCGGTGCGCCTCGAACCGTATAGATTGCGAATGTACGCGGATTCGAATGTCCGAAAGTTTTTCCGGCTCGGGTAAAACGATACGGTTCCGCGCGTTCAATCGGCCGGTGTTCGGCACGGCGCCGGACGCGACACCGTCCGCGGCGCATCTCCCCTCCGCCATGTACCCGCCGAATCGCCCGTAACGTCAGCGTGCCGTGCCGTCGCGCGGACGCGGTCCCGGCCGCGCGACGGCCACTGTCGCGGCGGTCTCGGCGACAGCGCGCACCGGGTCTCGTCGGGTTTTCACAACCGCGGCCGGGCGCGAAAAGACCACCTGTAATCCGCGGGCTAATTGCCGTCGCGCTACACGGCCGCGCACCGCTACCGCCGCGGCTCGTCGAACGCGAATACAGAACCGACTAATCGACACGGACGGTCCGCAATTCGACCGCCGCCGTCATGTTTACCGCGCGGCATCACAACGGGAATTTACGGCCGCCGACCCCCCGATAATCCCGTAACCTTTCGTTAACCCGGTCAATCGTCGCTTGTCTGAGCCGTCGCCCGTTAAGTAAAGCATATAAATACACAAATACGAAATTCCTGTACCCTATGCGAAACGACCGGTCTGTAAATTATTGTTTTTTTTTTTTATTTTTCGCTTTGTATTCCGTCGGGTTCGGTCGCGTTTCACATTTTGACTGTGATGTACCGGGCGATGAGTTTTTTAATCAGACGACGCATTGATTGATTCATTTAGTTTATTTATATACGCGCGTTTTTTATTCACTATATTTATTTAGTTTGTTTATTTACCGGTATTTCCGGCGTCTTTTTTACTTTATTGTTTTATTTTTTATGTCTACACTGCAATCTCGACTGGCTGTAACCGTTCCCATTATCCGAGAACGTTTTTTTTGTTTTTTTTCTAATCGTCTGACGGCCTGGACGCGTTTTAAAGATCTGGAAATCCGACGATATCATTCGTCCGTCCCGCGCCGCCGAACGTGATATTATCGAAATGCGGTCGAAACAAAAAAAACAAAACGAATACGAAATCGAATCGCCCGGTCCGCCCGGGGGCTGTGACGCCGCCGCACGCGAACCATACGGGAGCCGTGCGCAGACACCGGTGAAATATCGCGTCCGGATCGAAAAGCGTACCGGATCGGAACACCGCGCGGTATAATATTTTCAGGCCCGGAATAGCGTAAATAATTTACGGATGTCGATCGAACCGGCGGCGGCGGCGGCGGCGGCGAATTTCATTAGATTAATCGACGCGTTTCGCCGAACACTTTTCGATATCGAAACGCCGGGGATTAATCGCTAAAATACGCGCGCGACACATATTTGCGCGAAAAAAAAAAAAATCGCGTATCGATCACGCGCGTACAACGCCGCCGATCGCAAATGGTTATTTATAATTTAAACGGCGTGACTCCGGCGCGCCCGCCGATCAGCCCGCGAAGCCGTGCGCGCGGCGGGGTGGATCGCGTCGCGTTACAGCGGATCGACCCGATTTCGTTGAAACGGTTATTCAATTACGCCAGTGGCCGCCGCATCGGCTATAAATCTATAATAGCGCGGGATGGGGGTGGGGGAGTTAAGGGGAAACCGGAAAAAACGGAACGAAATTGGAAAAAAAAAAAAAAAAAAACGAAAAATATACGAAAATTAATTTCGCGGACATCGATAAAATTGAATTATCCGTTCGGATCTTGTTTTTTTTTTCTGTTTTTTTTCCGCTCCCCCGAACACAATGACGGCGGAATAAACATTTCATCCCGAAATCGTTTTATCGCGAACGGGAATTCGGTGACACGGTTCAAGCGATTCGTACTGTAGAAAATACCGTTCCGGGGATAAGACTGTGGACAACAACGCTAATCTGCAGACTGTAGACAACCGGCGGTGTCGCATCGGTTCGCAATAATATCGCGTTACGGTAAACAAGAAACGTCCGAAACGCGATAGTGCACGCCGCAAACGTCGGCGTGCCGATTGAAAAATTAAAAAACGTTCGGCGATACGCTACGGCGTCGGGCGGATCGCGTTTTCCGAGTGGCAGACGCGCGCGGGCAACGCATTCGGACGGCAACGCCCGATCGCGGGTGTTTTGCGACGGTAAACGTTTCGAGAGCCGAGGGAACGCGCGGTAATGCGTCCGGCCTGCCGTCCGTCTTACCAGGGCGCGTTCGGATCGGCTCACGGATACGGGCGGTCCCGTATATTCTAAAACCGTTTAGAATATGTGCCCTCGATTCGTCTCCCGAGAATTCACTATTGAACGCAGTTTTCTAGTTTACTAGTTTTTTTTTTTTTTTTCAATTATATTTTTATTTTTTCAAAACGATATTGGTCACCAATCGGTTATTGGTTATTTAAAACCGGACGTGTTAAACCTTCGGTTACCATTGCGTTTGTGTTGTTCCCTCCAGTGGACGCGCACGCGTTAACTCGGAACGGCGAGCACAACGTATTTTCCGCGGACTTGCGGTTCAAGTTATTGCTCATTATTTGACGTTCGATTTTATTTTCGTCGACCTCACCGTGGTTATGATATGTATGCAACATAGCTTACGTACGATATTAACGTTATCCGATTTACTACGTTTTTAACGTTTTAATACATTTTTTAGGGGTTTTTGAAAACTTAAGATATATTTTAGATTATGAGTTTAGCAAAAAAAAAATACATTGGTTTTATAAAGATGTGTATATATATATTTTTTTTTTGTAAACACTTTCTATGAAAAGGCTTACTCTGATTTCCAAGTATAGCACTTTTCCTAGAGGAAATGTTCTCCGGACGTACTTTAAAGAGATCGTATTTTGAAATTATCATTAATATTCGAGGTTGTGAGGAAAACCTGGTTCTTTAGGTTAAAAAAGATTGAAAGTTTAAAAATGAGGTTTTCATTTGCAACCGTTTTTATTTATTTTTTGTAATTGTTAAGTTTTTATTATTTTATTTTAAACTTTTTAAAACCATCCTTGTTGACATGTAAACGCATATTGTTGTAAATATTTTACCATATTTATGACAACATATATTGTTGACTAAGTTGCAACACTATCAACTGAACTTCACTAAAAATCGTTTTTTCGTTGGTAATGGCTTATCTTCGTTTACAGATTTAATTGAATTCCCTCTTGCATCATACCTTCCCATTTTCCCACCAAAAACATTTGCTACGTTCTTTTTTAACAATCAAAATTATTGATTTCCCCTTTTCGGTCAACATTTTCTCGACCGAATTCATTTTACAAACTCGCAAACAGCCACGTTTTTAGTCATCAAATATTCACAATGTTATAGAAATCGGTGATTATCTACGGATGGGTTACGACGGCTAGTAAGATAAGATTAAATTTGAGTGAAATATTAAAACAGTAGGGGGATATACAGCGTCAGACTATTTACTACCGACGTCGTAAAAGTAAATAATATGAGTTGTATGTGAGTCCCTTGTTAAATAGTAATATTTTACAGTATTGGGAGCGAAATATGCATTTGTCGGGAGCTAAACCGATGAGGGGTCAACGTTCATTTTGACCCGGAATCGGGAACCAATTTAACGGGCACCAGCACCGATATTAAACGGGATTTACAGTAAAACTGTCAAATATCGTCCGATATCGTCCGCATCTGTTTCAACGAGACTGAACAATTTCCCATACTAAATCGTGTACGCGATAGTTTTCCGAAACTTTGGAGATCGCGAGTTCGTCGAAAATAAAAACTGGAAACGTCAACGTTTTCGAAACAAATAAACTCGCCGTCTTTTCGGGATTTTCGAAAATAATATTTTTTAAAGTAAAATAAATGCATCTAACCGGTCCCCGAATGACGCGAATTCGATAAAACTATTGCATGTCTGTAGTGCTTATCTGTGTTGCCAGAAGATATCCATAGGTATCGTGGACAGAACGCAAGGTAGTGTGGGGTGTGCCTGAAGTTATTTCACAAGTCATTATTATTATCGATTGATAACCGTTGATGATCTTTATCGTCGTAACCACAACAGAACCGACGAGGTAACATACATTCTACTGTCTTCGGAAACCCCATGTGTTGTATCGGAACCGGGGACGTCCGATTCCTATATCCGTGTGTACGATACCTACGGAGATACCGCGACGAGGCTGTTCGCGGAACGCGCCCTGTATACGTCGCCCGCGCGCGGCCGGACTTTCCGCGTGGACGCGCGCGAGTGTTTTACGCGAGGTCGCGGCGTGTTTTTACACACGGGCGTTTTTATTTTCGAATTCCGCCGGAATAAAACTCCGCCGCGCCGGACCCGCGGAGATTCCGACGAGCGCCCCGGCGGCGCACAAAAGACCCGAAACCGTTCGGGACGGTTCTCCCGCTCGCGGGTAATCGCTGGGCGGCGTAAAGCGTACGCCGGGGCGGCCGGCCGACCGGGCGGCGGGGAACGTTGTAAATCACAATGAAAAGTAACCCGCCGCCGAGCGACCGCCGCCGCCGCCGCCGCCTGCGTACCTGCGTAGTTAACCTGCCCGGGCCGCGGGATATCCGACCGTCGTCATCGTCCCAGTCGCAGTCGTCGCAGTCGTCGTCGTTGCAGCCGTTTGTAACGAGGCCGCGGCCGTCCGGTCCCCCGGCCCGCGACGCGCACCCGCCGCGGCCCCGAGCCCCGGCGTAGACGCTCTTTGCGCGTACGTTCGCGACTATTGAAAACGAGACCGGCGTCCGGTGGGCGATTGGGGGGGGGTGGGGTGGGGAGGAAGAGGTGACGGACGGCGTTGGCGCGGGTCGGTTAGCGTGTATCGCACGCACTCTCTCGAGCGAGAAGGGGTGTGGGGGGAGAGGGTGAAGAGGTAAATTCTGTCCGACGGCCGGCCGCCGCGGACGGAACAACAACGAATTTCCAGCGGACTGTGCGATTAATCGCAGCGCCGTCCGTCCCGCCACTGTTCTTCGGCGGACGACTGCGGTCCGTGAGCCGTCTTACGCGCGTACGCGTACGGCGTTCTCTCGTCAGGTTTTTCGAAAAAAAAAAACAAAACAACAAACAAATCGATTTCGTTTTTGTTTCGAACGCGTTGTTCGGTATCGTTTCGCGTGTATTATGTAAAGAACATTTTCATAAACAGAAGAACGAAATAACACGTGCACTTTTTTATCCAAAAACAATAGGAATCGTTCAAAACGCACGGGTTATTTTAGTTCGACCGTTGAACGTTTAAAACACTTCGACACGTCATGTCGACGGCGGCACCGTGTCGTCCGTGAAAGAGTCGAACCGGTTCGCGAAAGAAAAACAAAAAGCATAGATCATATCGGTAAATTTGGATTTTATAGAACACTATGACTTTTCCGAGAAAACGGTTGTACAGATAAACTTAATTTATTTACGTTCGTACTCGACGGCGAACCGTCGTTAAAACGATTAAACGATTATGAGCAAATTGTTAAACTCATTCATTGCAGTGCGCGCGGGAAATCGACGAAAATTCTATAACCAATATCGAAATTGTCAGATACCCTGATTGTTAAAAAAACTACCGGGAGAAAAAAAAATACCCGACGAATGAATTCACGAAAACCTAATTGAAAGCGATAACTTTAATTCTTTTAAAGTTTTCGGGCGATATTTGCGGTGCGGGAAAAAAAATCCATTTGGTGTACCCAATACACCGTATTCCTCGCTTCCCTCGGGATCTTAAACGGTCACAGCCGTCGTGTTGTGGCGTTCGAAATTGGAATTTAAACGCACCAATGACGACATATAAATAGGAGAAAGTTTTCGAAAACCGACGTACTTTTCCCGAAAAAAAAAAATCAAAACGATTGGTACAACGTGCTGACGTACGGAACATAACGTTCGGTTGAAATCCGCACTATACGCGCAAAAAATGTCCGATCCGCGACGTTTAAGACGTTACGACGGGCGTCCGGGGGATCGGGCCGCGACGAGAATTTTTTTCAAAAATATATACGGCAATCGGACCACTAAACATTTAAATTTACAACAGGTAGACCCCGTGATCGGGCTACTGTTTTTTATTATTGAATCCGGTAATCGGTCCGCTATAACAGTACACTTCGGTAAAACACTTTGGATTTGACCAGAGGAAAACGTCAATAGTACACCACTGTTTTAAACCGTATCGTTATTTTTCCGCCATTGCGAATTTAAATCGCTTACGTTCGTTACAATCGGTTTACGTTGACGGCACTACTATTTGAAAACGGTGCGGAGCACTATCGGTATTAAATAATTATAAAAAAAAATTAACAATCGTTCGATTGGTTTTGTATTCACGCATTCGATACGCATTTAAAATCATTTATTTCTGTGCCGTACCCGTCGTACATTCGTGGCCCGATCACCTCCCCGGGTACCCTTTAGACAATACCTTTTGTCGGTCGCCCAATCAATACCCGGGGCAATAAAATGTACACAAATATTATGTACGAAACGCGTAAACGAATTGGCGGCCCAATGATTGCCGACCGTCGTAACCCGCGTGCGTTACGCCCGCCGTGTACGGACGCGGTCTCGGTATTTTTCCCCGGGACACGAGGGGGCAGCGGTTTTTCTCGTCGTTTACGGTTTTCCCGTCCGCCGCACCTCCCGCCGCGGGAGACCGAGAGGACGACCGACAGAGATGGACGGAGTGAACCGCAATATTCGCCCCGGGACGACGCAGCCCGCGGGATAATAACAACAATATGATGATGTGTGTGCGCGCGCGCGTGTGTGTGTGCGCGCGCGCGTGTGTGTGTGCGCGCGTGCGTGTGTGTGTGTGCGTGCATATGAATAGTGACGTAATTTACGGGCGAACGATATTTTTCGTCGGCGGACGTTAATTTATTGCCGCACTCTTCTCTCGGCCGTGCCGCCGCCGACGCCCGCCGAAAACGCGAAACGACATGCGCGCACAATAAAATTATATACGACGACGCGCCGCAGCTGAGTCCCCGTCGTCGTTTTGAAAAACGGCGTAAAACCTCCGGAAAGAATATCATCGTTAGCCCCCGACCGCCGCCGCCACCACCCCCTCCCTCCGGCCGATCGCCGAAATACCGACGCCCGCCGCCCCGCGCCCCTCGGCGAAATTGCCTCTAGACACGGCCTACGCGTTATTATTATTATTATTATTATTATTATCATACGCGCCATTGGCGAATTTGAATGAGAACGATAAACGCGCGCTGTTTTCGCGCGCTACACGTATATTATAATAATAATACGAGGAACTTTTTTTTCCCGACGCAATTCCCGCCGGAAATCCGTTCTGCGCGCGTACGCCGCCCGCGCGAGGTTCGGTGTTAATGCCCGGGAATAAAAAAAAAAAAAAAAAAAAAAAAA